GAGAGATATGAAGTAGGAAAGCATTCCTGGTTGCTCCATGCCTCCCTTTAGAGAGTGGCTATTCCCACGGCTTGTCCGTCATTGCAACTTGAGTGAGAATTTGTGGAGTCGGCTTGCTTTATGCCTGACCCAGTTGGTGCGGGAGGTGGAGGTGAGTGGTAGGTGAGCAGGAGAAGCCGGGACCTTGGACGGTGGAGGAGCAGGGAGAGGGCAAGGGGACTGGCCCTAGGGAAGCTGTCTCAGGGGGTGGACCTTCCCAGGGAGGGCAGGGAAGTGGGGCAGGGAGAAGAGGGGGGAAAGGACTCCTTGCTCCTGGACCCCCAACTGCAGCTACCTGGTCTGCAGTCACACAGGCCTGTGAGGCTTTCCTGCTCTCCTGACAGTGGGGAGAAGAGGCAGGGAGACGGGCTGGCCCCAGTGCCTTATACAGTAGGAGAATAAAGGAACATTCTGCAGAGAGACAACGCCCATTGCCCCTTGATTGTGAGGGCGCCCACTCCTCGGCAACGCTGGAGAGGAGCCAGCTACCTGGGCTGTTGCTCACTGTCTCCCGCTTTCGGATTTCCTGAAGGTTGCTGTCTCCCAGGCCTTAGAACAAACCAGGCATGTTGAGAAATGTCAGATGGGAAGTGGAATCCCCTGGAGGTGGCCCTGCCAGGGCGAGCCAGGGCCTGCTCTGTGATCCTGGGCTAATCGATGTCTCTCTCTGGGCTCCAAGGTTCTACATTGGGCGAGACCCTAGGCCCTGCCATGTTAGGCGACCAAGAGAAGAGGGCGCTGCCCTGCCCCCCACCCCCAGCCTTTGGGTCTCCAGGGGGTGGCGATTAGCAGTGCCCAGTAGCCAGGGTCAGCATAAAGGGATCAGGGAGAGTGGTGGCCTCAGCAGGGGTAGGGATTAGCAGGTGATATTCTAGCCCTGGCCCCCTGCGGGCCTGCAGCTTCCCTCCCTCCTTTCCAGGAAAGAGAGGTCACAAGTGGCTAAGCCCAGCACCCGAAAGCCCCAGTGCCTGCCCACCACCCTGGTACCAGCCATTGGCGGCGGCAGGCCCCAGGTGGGGAGACCTGGGGAGAGTCTAATGCCTTTGCCTGTATTCGCATATATTCCGCAGACCTCTGCTCAGGTGCGGAGATTGCTGGGTCCTGGCAGATGCCTCCTGGAATGGTCAGGTGGGGTCTGGCTCCCTCGTGGCTCCACCTTCAGGGCTCCCACCCTCCCCACCCCGCAGGCAGCATCCCCGAGCCCCACCCCTTCGAGAAAACTCTCCCACAGTCGCCTCTACCCACCACCCCACCCCTGATTGGTTGTTAATTTTTTTTAAAGTTATAAAATACAACGAAATGCAGCAAGTGCGTAAATATATAACGTAACTAATAATTTATGACGCGAGAGCCCACAATCTATTATTCAGGCCAAGACAACAGGTACTACTTTGCAAAAACTTTGTAGCTTCTTGAAACACAGCACATAAAATGACCACAGAACACAGCAATTTTACACTTAGGAATCTTCCCAAGCATATGGGAAATACAGATGACCACATAGAAGCTGGCATGAAAGTATTCACAGCAGCACGATTTCAGATAGCCGATGGGTGAGAACAGCCCAAGTGTCCGTTCCTACACTGTGGTATATCCCCACCAAGGAATAGTCAGGAATTTAAAAGAAATGAAGTCCTAATACATGGTACCACATGGGTGATTCTCAAAAACACGCTAAATGAAAGAAATCAGACACAAAAACACTCCGTGTGTTGTATGAGCCATTTATAGAAAATGTCCAGAAGAGGCCCACTTAGGGGGACGGGAAGCAGATCGGTGGCTGTTCAGATCTGTGGCGGAGGATGGGGGTGACTCCCATCCAGCATGAAGGGTCTCACTGGGGCGATGGCAAGGTTCTAAGTCTGGGTGGTACAAATTGCCTCGCTCAGTCAATTTCTGACAAATGGGCGAATTTTATGGCATAGAAATTATACCTCAGTAAGTTGTTTTAAAAAAACGGATTCCAGGGGCATCTGGGGTGCTCCGTCAGTTAAGTGTCTGCTTTTGGCTCAGGTCATGATCCTGGGGTCCTGGAATCGAGCCCCACATCGGGCTCCCTGCTCGGCGGGGAGCCTGCTTCTCCCTCTCCCACTTCGCCTGCTTGTGTTCCCTCTCTCGCGGTCTCTCTCTGTCAAATAAATAAATAAAATCTTAAAAAAGAATAAAATATTGATGTCAGCGAAAGCAAGAAAGAAACAGGGAGGGCCCTGCCAGCCCCTAGAAGCTTCCCCAGCCCAACTTTCCGCAGAGGTAACCACTCTCTGGCTATAAGACATCACTGCTTTTCTTGGTCGCTTTACATCTATATTCGCAGCTGTAGACAAGACAGACTAATTTTGCCCCTTCTGAGCTTCATCTATATGGCTCATCGGTGTCTTTTGAGTGTGGCTTCTTTACCTCCATATATTCGTACATGTGGGTCTTCCCAGCTGGCGTATGGCCAAAATTTGTTCATTTCCCTTACCCTAGAGCACCTGCTCTCCCCCAGGCACATCCGACTGCCCATTCCCTAGGGTCTCTGCTACCTCCAGGTTGCTCAGCCCTGGGAGGGGGGCACAGGGCAAGCCTCAGTCATGCAGGGCCCCATGGGATAACTGTTCCTCCGGCACCTCACTCCCTCACACGGGGACACAAAGCTGTTATTCTCCCGTCGATCACAGTGTGCCTTGGCCGAGGTGTGTGGTACACTGGGTCCCCTGGCAACCTGTGGTGCCCCAACCAGGGCCACGTGGGGCTCTTTCCCTGGGACCTGGGTCCCTGCTGGCCCCTGGAGGGTTGCCGCTGGCTGCCTGGCTGTCCAGCTCCTGTCTTCCACCACCACCACCCCACCTCTGTCGGGCACCTACTAATCCTTTGCACACGGCCCACTGCTGCCTAATCCGCCCTGTGTCTGAGAGACCAGAGGCAAGTGGTGGGGAGAAGGCGATTCCTGGCTGGTGGTCGGCATCTGAGTCGGTAAGTTAGGATGGGGTCGCGGCTCAGAGGGACCTCTGGTGGGACCGCTATGCTCTCCTTCTACCAAGGCATTTAGAATAAGGTAAGTCTGGGAACCTGGAGCTTCCTCAAGGCAGACTGTGACATGCAGGTTCCAGGTCCCACAGAGGGTTGAGAGGAGCCTAGGAATCTTTGCTGTCACCAGCTTCCCAGAAGATTCTGAAAGGCTGGTGGTCCCAGCACCATAGTTACCCTGGACTCTCAGCAACCCCTTCCCACCTCTGCCTCCCTATCATTGTGGAGTGGGCAGGGACGTGCAGGTATGTTCATGAGGGAGAAAATGACTGGATCTGGGGGAAGGAGAAAAGTTGGGAGAGGGGAAGGCTTCCCTGGTCATTTCCAGAAGGTTCAGAAAACCAGAAGTGCTGCCCACTGGGAAAGGGTCTGCGGGACTGGCCTGCAGGGGTAGACATGGGACATCTGGAGGCTAGCAGACCTGAGTGTGACTCAGCTTGGCTGCTTACCAGCTGTGTGGTGTTGGGCAAGTCTACCGATCTCTCTGTGCCTCTGTTTCCTTAGCTATAAAGTGGTAGCACTTACCTTCCTGAGGCTGCTGGCAGGCGGGAGAATGAGGTGAATGTGATCCGGGGTAGACGACACTTAGCTCCGTTTGGGCTCACGGGGTTGCCTGGGGCTGTGGCATCTGCCATCCTAAACATATGATCTTGGGCTCTCCCCACCTGGGAAACTACTGTGTCTGCACCTCCACCCAGCAAGGGAATGGAAGGCCGGAGGGGTTCACGTCTGGCTCAGGTTCCCATTTTTAGAGGTGGAGTCAGGCATCTGATTTCCCACCTGGAGCTCTGCCCCTCACCACAGCCTCTCCCAAGAGAGCTGGGCAGCTGAGGCTAGAGCTGGGGCAGAAGTCAGGGCTGTGAGTAGAAGGGCAGGGAGCATGGCTGGGGGCAGTGGGGAGCTGGGCACTGGGGCAGGGATCCTGGGCCCTGCGCCTATCCTTTTCAGCGTGGGGGTAGGGTCCCTGGCAGAGGAGGGACAGAGAAGCACTCTGTCATATGGGGCATCACCTCAGAAGGGCCTTTTGAGGGTGGGAGTTCCCACATATGAACCTGTGTGGCGCCCCCTGGGCCAGGCCAGCCCACAAGGATTTAGTTATAAGGACTGAGGCCCCTTCCTCCCCAGAAGGGAAAGGATGCCAGAGACTGGACCCAAATAAGGTAGGACAGTACATCTTGAAAAGGGAATTTGTCACCTTAAACATTTTTACATCATGAAAATAGGTTCACGTTTATGTTAAAATATTTTCCATTCGTACGCAATTCATAATATATTTTTAAAAATTTATATTGGGATCATGCTGAACATGATATTCTACAATTGGTGTTTTTGCTTGACACCAAATATGAGTCTCAGTCAACATTTATTAAGCTCCCAGTGTATGCCCGTCACATTTGTATCTGTTTATTTTATCCTCACAATCCTCTCCACAAGATAGGTTCTGTAACATGCCCATTTGATAGACAAGCACACTGAGGCACAGAGAGTTTAATTAATTTGGTCATGACTGGAGTCCAGAGCATGTACATCTTTCCATATTAGTTCAAATAGAGCCACTTTTTTTAATGGCTCCATAATATTCCATTATTGGATGTATTATAATTTATTTAATACATGTCTCTCTTATAGATGAACATTCAGGTATTTTCCAATAACCAGGGTCCTACTCATGAATACTTGGATTTTTTTTCATCTTTTGTTGTAACACTGTGGTGACCAACCTCTTTATACACATGTTTTTGGCTTGAGTATTTTTCTTTTCTTTCCTTTTTTTTTTTTTTTTTGCCTGAGTATTTCTATCAGGTGAGTACCTGGAGGTATAATTTGTGGAAATGTTTTGAAAGATGAATGAGAGAAAGGAAATGTGTGACCCATAAGAGCGGTCCCAAGTGGTGGGAGCCATGGTGGGCACTGTGGGGGTGCCTAAGGACCCATCTCCTGCAGGTGTCAGGATGTTGAGCTGGGTCCAGAGGGTGCTGCCTCAGCCCCCAGGGACTCCTCAGAAGACCAAGACGGAGGAAGAGGAGGGGGCAGAACCAGAGCCTGAGGTGGAGCCGGAACCAGGGGCAGAACCTGAAACAGCCCCGGGGGAGGCTGAGCAAGGGGCTGAATCCTCGGTGAGACATGGAGGCTGAGCAAGGGCTGCTGGGCTCGCGGCTCAGGGGATCCCCACCGTGGGTCAGCCGCCCTGCAGGGACCTTCCATTGTGGGGGGAACTTGAGCGCATCCAAACTTGCCAGTTCTGCCTCACATCCATCAGGATCCTGATGACCACGAGTCCAGAAGCTCAGTGACACAGATTTGACTTAGCTTCTAACTGATGCCAGGCCTGTGCGCTGTGCCGGGAGCCTGATGAGGAATAAGGCATCGCCCCCCGGGGGCTTAGTAGACAAGTACCAGCCAGGTCATTCTAACAGCAGACAGAGGTGATAAGGAAATGCCGGGGCGTCCAGCGCTGGGCTCAGCTCTCCCCTCCCAGGAGGGCCAAGCAAGTGTATCAGACAGAACTACGGGAGCTCAGAAGAGGGAGAGAATCATCCTAAATTTGGAGAGTGGAAGCTGGTGGGGGAGTGCCTCCCAGACACGGTGGGCTGGGCCCAGTGTGACTGGAGATGAAGAGGGAGGAGTGTCCCTGGCAGAGGAAGGGTGAGTCCTGGGAAGTGCAGGGCATGTTCAGGAAACAGTGACTACCCTGGGATAGGGTTTGTGCACATAGTATTCCCATGTGCACGTGTGTACACACATGTGTGTGCCCTGTTTCCTTAATGGTATACCTGCACATACATAAGCATTAGCAAGCCGTGTGCATGCAAACGTGTACATATTTGTGTGCACACAATACACATACATGTACACATGTGCGCATACATGCATCGGTGTTCCTGTAGTTCCATGTGCACGTGGGGCAGGCTGTAAGCGTGTAAGTGTGTGTATGCAAACGTTTCTGAGTCTGTGAATGTATTCCTGTGTTTGTGCACATGTCTGTGTATCTGTGCATGTATGTATGTACAGACAGGTTTATATGTATCTGCATGTCTGTGCATGTACCTATTTTGTACGTCTGTGCATGCCTGTTCACATATGCGTGTTCAGATGCAGAACTTTGTGTGTGCAGGTGTACACGTGTATGTATGTTCATCTATATGTGTTTGTGTTAATACACACATGAAAGGATGTGCTCATGAAGACATGTCTGTGTCAGTGCATGTGTGTGTATAAGCCCATGTCTATGTGACTGAGCATACATATATGTACTTGTGTATACACACAAATATCTGTTTCTGTGTGTATATGAAAATATCTGTGTGTGCACATGATCATACTTGTGAGTCTGTGTCTGATACTTGCAGATATATACACATGTGTACACCCGCATGCCTGCACACATATATATGAATAGGTTTGCATGTGCCTGTTTGCACACACCTGTGTGGTGAGGAATGCATGCACATGCGAGTGCAAATGCACGTGTGCAGACACATGCACGTGCAGGCAGATAAAATTTTGTGTCTGTTCACGTGTTTCTACACCCTGTGTTACTCTCTGTATACACGCATGTGCTCATGTACGCATGCCTCTGCACATATATGGAGATTTACAGGAGCTCATACATTTACACGTCACGGTGAACACGACCGTGTCAGCGTCTCTGCGTGCGCGTTCATGTTCGCCCATACACGTGAGTGCGCGTGCGCAGCCGTAGGTGCGGCCGCCATGGGCAGATGAGAGGCTTTGGCAGGTGCTGAATGCCCCCGGGGGCTGGGGGGTGTAGTGGAAGGTTTGGTGCGAAGGAGGAAGAGAGCTTTGGCCGTGGGCTAGATGTGAGGGGTCCGCTCAGCTCTCCCCACCTCAGTTTGTGCCAGCCATCCTCCCTGTTTGGCCGCTGGAGTGGGGCGGTTTCCTGAGGGATGTGGAAGGCCCCGGGGTGGGAGGGGGCTATCCTGATGGGGGACACGGTGAGGGCCCCACCTGGGATGGAGGCCCCTGGGGGTTGTGGGAAGGGAGTGTCCCAAACTGAAGCTGACAAGATTTACTGGGATGATTGTGAGAACAGAGCAGCTTAGTCTTGTGGGGTGAGGGGGTCCCCTGTGGGTGGGTCAGGGGCTGCCCCAGTCTGAACCAGGCTGGTCTCACTGAGGGCTTACATGGTCCTGTCTGAACCTTCCAGCCACCTGAGGAGCCTTTGGGGGTAGAGGAATTGGCTGTAGCTGACCCAGGCCCTGAGGGTGAGTGCTGGAAGCCCGGGTCAGTGGTTGGGGCAGCCGGGAGGAGTGTGTTCCCCCTCTGGACCTTGCCCCATCCACAGGCTGGCGGGCCCATTTCACAGACTAAGCAACTGAGGCTCAGAGAAGTTAAGGGCTGGGCTGCTGGGGACCTTATAGCTGAGCTGAGCTGGAAGCCTGGCCTTCTGACTCCCTTGGGGCTCTCCCCTTTCCCCTGCCTCTGCCTTGACTTTGCTAGCAGGGTAGAAATGGACCACTCTGAAGCTCCAGATCTAAAGTATGAGGGACTCTTTTCCAGACATCCAGGAGGCTGCCCCTACTTCGCCTATATCCCTCCAGGCCCAGGTCACCGTGGTTCCTGAAGTGAACAGGTACTACCCCGCCCTTCCTTCTCCTGGGGGCCAGCGCCTCACCGCCCCCTCAAAACTAGGGAGCCACTTGGGGGTGGGGGCCAGCCTTGCTCTCAGGTCTCTAGTCATTCACAGGCAACTGCACAGAACATCCTGGAAACTGGCTGAAGGGAGCCTCAGGCAGAGGGCAGGGAGCTCCTGGGCCAGGTAGACAGTGGGACCAAGAGAAACAGTGAGGAGGGGCCAGAGTGTCCTCAGTGCTTGGGGGAAATGCATATCCAGTGCAGCCAGAGCTTCCCACTTTTCCTAACTGAGCCAGAAATCCAGACTTTTAGATGACGTCTCCAAGTTGGCTCATTTTAGACCATTAACGCTTATTCAAGTGAGCCTACCTGTGGGGGGCTAGCCTCAGGCAGTGAGTCTGTGACCCTCCTGTTGAGGCTACCCAGCCTCAGCCACAAGGAAGCACCCCACAGGAAGCCCTCAACCCTTCTGGAGCACAGGATGTGTGGCAGGTATAGGAGGGGACCCTTGGAGCCGGGGTTCGGGGGAAAGCAGGATGACAGAACTTGGCTGCTCTGTACCCAGCATCTGATAGGGGTGGGCTCAGAATGGCCCTGGACATACCTGGTCTCGCCAAGGTGCAGTGTCCCCTATTTTCCAAGCTGGACACAAGACTTGGGGAAGGTGGCATATCTGAAGTCTCAGAGTTGGGAGATAGGCGTTTGGGATTCAAACTGAGTTCTTTAAGACACTGTGGAGGGCCCCTCAGACCAGGGAGGGGCTGTGGGCCTGGCGGGTAGGTCTGTATCTCTGTCCCTCAGCAGTTCCAGCAGCTCTGTGCTGAGCTGGCTCAAGAAGGGCATGGAGAAGGTTGTCCCACAGCCTGTCCCCAGTGGCGGGCCCACCCAGAGCGCTGCTGCTGGCCCAGAGGGTCCTGCTCAGGTACTTCTGGGGCCGGAAGCTGAGGTGGGTGCGGTGGGAGGCCATTGCATCCGGGCTCTCTGTCCTCATCTGTCCATCTGTCCTGGCAGGCAGGAGCACAGACATCCGGGCAGTGCAACACTGGGGGCTCAGGTAAGGCCAGGAGACGGGATGGCTCTTCGGGAATGGGACTAGGGGAGCCTGGTGTGGGCCTTGCTCCTGCAGAAAGCCCACAGGTGGGTGACTCTCAGCAGAGTGGCCCCAGATTTGAGCCTGGGTTTGAGTGAGGCTGACCTGAGAAGGGGGTCTGAGTGGGCCTCTTGCTGCTGACCACCTTCCTTTCTTCTGCAGATGGACTCGTGGAGGCCCCTGGGGCCCAGGACACCAGGTGAGTCCCCATCCCTGAGCACTGGTTTGGGAGCTCCTGAGCCTCATGTGTAACGTGTGAAGTGGGAGGAGCTGTGTGTGCAGAGCTGAGGGTCTTGGGTTCAGAAGCAGGGTCCACTACCACTTCAGTGTGTGATGTTGGACTTGCCTCTCATCTCTTCTGGACCTCCCTTTTCTCATCCATAAAATGGAGCCAAAGGGTCCTGTGTTCCCCTGTGTTTATTGTCCTGATTTCTGGGAGATCCCCAGGTGAGGGGCCCTGGGGAAGAGGCAAGGATGGGTTCTCATAGATGGGCTGGTGTACATGGGTGTCGTGTGGAGCCCAAGGGCAAGGCTGGGGCTGCTGTGGGGGACACAGAGGTACCCAGGTTGGTCTCACAGTTGGCAATAGCTTCGGACTTCTCAGACTTGACCAAGGTAGGCAGCTGGCTGTCTTGTCAAGGACAATGGCCGGCTGGGTGAGGGCTATGTCAAACAGGGGAGCCCATGGCCTTCTCTATGCGGGTCCTTACTCAGCCCCTCTTGCCCGTGCCTTGGAGGAGTTCAGTCCCAGTATGGACAGACCCTCTAATTTTTCAAGAGAAGCTAGAAATTTAGGTTTTTATGTAATCCTTAATTTTTAGCTGTTGCCAACTAATTGAAACTTTTTGGGGACCCTGTGGACCTCCCAAATAAGCCTGAAGCCTCCAGTTCGCAATTTCTGCTGGAATCCCAGAGTCATGTATTCATTGTTATTCACCCTTTCATTCATTCATTCCTCCCCTTATTCATTTGTTAGACTGTTGGGTTCTTGAGGGCAGAGGCTTTTGTCTTGTCGTTGTTGAACCCCCATCCCCCTGCACCCAGCACCGTGCCTGCCATAAGGAGGGGACTCAGAACAGAGGGGATGAATGAATGAATGTACTCCATTCATTCACTCTTTGTTCTAGTTCACAGGCTGTTTCTTTTTGTCTCCTGGAAGCTGCCCAGCTCAGGGGTCCCCAGGGCCACTCTGCTGACTCACAAGACCAATAAAGCCATTTAGGATGAAGGCCCCTAGAGGGCTTGCCAGCTCTCTTTTGGGCCCAACCTGGGGGGATGTGTTCCCCTGGGAACAGGGAGCTTCCCTTCTTCCCAGATGGAGGGGCTGCCCCATGGAGGCCAGATAGATCTGGGACTCATTTGCCTCAGGACCAGCTATGTAATTTGTGGGGCCCAGTGCAAAATTAAAAGGCAGGATTCCTTTAAAAAATTAGTAAGAGTTTGGGGCGCCTGGGTGGCACAGTCGGTTGAGTGTCAGACTCTTGGTTTCGGCTCAGGTCATGATCTCTGGGTGGTGGGATCAAGCCCTGTGTGGGCCGCACTCGGAGGGGAGTCTGCTTGAGATTCTCTCTCCTGCCTCTGCCTCTCATGCTTGTGCACTTGCTCTCACTCTCTCTAAGATAAACAAATAAATAAATGTTTTAAAGAATTTAAGATTGAGTTTAAGGTGGTGACAACAGCATGAAACTCAAACTAGGCCCTTGTAAGTATCGGGCCCTGTGTGACTGCACTGCTACCAGACCAGTGGAGCCAGACTTATCTGGGCCAGGCACAGGGACTTGCCACCCCCACCCCCCTCCCCCATGCTGCATTCAGGTTCCCAGGCAGCCCTTATTCCTCACCTGCTGCCCAGGTGGCCAGGGCTGGGCCTGTTGTTCCGGGCCTGGTCCAGGCACGGGTCAGAATTTGAGGCTGGTGGAAGTTCCCCCCTTAACCTAGGCCCTTCCAGAGTATCCAGGAGAGGGTCTCCATTGTGCACAGTGGGACCAGAGATGGGGAAGGGCTGGTCGAAGCCTGGGACTCCAATAGACATTCAGGTCAGTGTGATTAGGCTGTTCCACTGACCTCTGGCCCCTTTGCAGGTCTGGACCCTGGCTGCTCAGGTGGCTTGAGCAGAATCTGGAGAAAGTGCTGCCTCAGCCCCCCAAAACCTCCAAGGTAAGTCAATGAAAAGGGGGAGCAGACAGATGACCACCTGGGAGGGTTTCTAGGGCCACAGGAAGGACCCAGCAGGCTGTCTTCACCCTTGGGACACATAGAGGGGGTATTGTCCTCCCTGGAGGGTTCTGGATGGAAAGGAGTGACTGCAAAAGAGCAAGGGGGGTTTATAGGGAAGGATGGAGCCCCTTGCCCCACCTTCTCTAGGCACAGCTGGCCGGGGCGGGGGGAATGCACAGGGCTTGCTTTGTTCTATGCCCCCACTCCCTGTTTCTGCTCTAGGACTGGAGAGATGAGCCTGAAGATGCTGCCTTGGGCCCAGGTACAGGGAGGGGATCTGGGAAGGATCTGGGAAGATCATGGTCACAGGCTGGGCTGGGGTGCTGCTGGGGCCTGAGGGATCCTGGGGAAGGATCTTAGCCGTCACCCAGGCTCTCCAGGAGTGGGCTGATGTGGGGGGGCCTCGGAACCCCTCCCCAGTCCAGGCTGGGAAGCCAGTGGTGTGGGACGGTCTTGCGAGCTCTCAGACAAGTCCCTTGAGCTCTCTGAGTCTCTGTTCTATGTCCGTTGGATGAGGGAGTAGTTGGAGTGGGCCCAAGGGACTCCCTACTCAGTCAGTTGGGGCCTTGAATCTGGCCCCCCAGTGCCCATGAGGGGTCACATGGAGCCCTGCCTTGTCCTTTTTAGATTCTTGCTCTCCCCACTGCGTGGAGAACCCAGAACCGACCTTGGAAACTGAGCCCATGCTGCAGGCCCCGGAGAGCCCCTGCATGCCCACGGCAGGCCCCCCGGAGCCCAAGGAGGAGCTGACCTCAGAGCCCCAGCCCAGCTCCCAGGCTTCCTCCCTGCTGTCCCCCAGCGACCCTGCCAGGTGAGTCTCCCAAATGCTGCACCTTTCCTGGGGAGCAGGACCAGTACGTTGCCCCAGACCCACACCCAACACTTCACCAAACTAGTTTTTAAAATTAAACATAGCCCCCTGAGGGAAAATTTAAAGGGATTTCCAGCAGTCCTTCCCAGGGCAGCCCTGTCCACCACTGTCACCCAACACATTCTGCATGCACACACAACACTGGGGGTCCAGTTCTCCTGTAGCTGAAAACGTACCGGACAACAGCAAAATCTATAGACTGCTCCACATGTCATTTCTTTCACTGGAAAGTGTCTCTTAGAGGTGGTCTTGTGCACATGGGCCTGCTTCGCTGTTTCAGCAGCCTCCAAGTGCCCCATCATACAGCTACACCAGCTTCGCTTTAGCCATTTGCTGGCCGTTTAGGTTTGTTTCCACTCTTGCTGCACTCAGTGTCCTTGTACAAGCATCATTTGGCTCACGTGCAAATCCATCTGTAGCTCAGTCCAAGGAACGGGAGCTGCTGAGCCTAAGGCTGCGTGCCTTAAAAATCGGGACAGGTGTGGCCAAATGCTCCCACTCTGGGGGCAGGGAAGAGGCCGGCTTGCACCTCCAGATCGGGTGGGAGGCTGCTGGGCTGTCTGCCAGGGTTTGAGCAGTCCCAGAGGCTGGCCTAGGGACGCCAGGGCGGAGGGCTACGGTCTTTGGGGCTGGACACCTGGGTTCTGATCTGCCTTTCCTTGGGCTCGCTGTCTGCCATGGTGGGGACCCGGCTCTGGTCTCAGTTTCTGCATGAGCCCTGCCGCTTAGACATGGCCTGTTCTCTCCCACATGCAGGTTGATGGCTTGGCTCCTGCACAGGCTGGAGAGGGCCTTGCCGCAGCCCACGCTCCACGGGAAGGCTGGGGAGCAGGTCTGTGTGGGGCAGGCGGAGTGGGGTGGGCGGAGCAGGGCCTCGGTTGGGGTGGGAAGGGTCTTGGGAGCTCAGATGGATGGTCTGGGGGGGCATAGAAGGAAGAAGGGAGCCTGTCGTGGGAGTGCAGCCCAGGCAATCTGCCCATCTGCTTGGCTCACATTTCTTCCACACACACTCTGGGGCAGCTTGGCCATAGGGCTGAGAAGTGCTGGCCCAGCCTTGCTAACCAGGGGTCACAGTCAGTGGAGGGAGCAGAGAGGATGCGGGGTGCAGTGGAGGATCCTCCCAGGAACATGAAGGAAGGCTTCCCGGTGGAGGTGGCTTGCAAGCTGAGACCCGAGGTGGAAGTAGGATGGGGGTGGGTAAAAGTGAAGAGGGGGAGTGTAGTAAGAGCCCTCAGGCAAAGGATCAGCATATGCAAAGGGCCAGAGACAGGAGAGGCCTGGAATGTTCTGGAAAGAAGTGGGGCTTGCAGGAAACCAGAGGGCCCTCTGTGCATTTCTGAGAAGCTAGGACTCTTACATGGGTAGGTGGGGGAGCACCACTTCCTTTCCTTCTCCAAGAACCTGGCACCTGGGGGTGCTGGCTTGCTCAGTTGGTTTAGCAGCCAGCTCTTAATTTCAGCTGAGGTCCTGTTCTCAGAGTCATGGGATTGAGCCTCACTTCTGGCTCTGAGCTCAGCAGGGAGTCTGCTTCAGATTCTTTCTCTCCCTCTCCCTCTGCCCCTCCTCCTCTTCTGTTTCCCCTGCTCATGCTTTCTAAATAAATAAATAAATAAATAAATAAATAAAATCTTTTTTTTTTAAGATTTTATTTATTTATTTGACAGACAGAAATCACAAGTAGGCACAGAGGCAGGCAGAGGGAGAGGGGGAAGCAGGCTCTCTGCTGAGCAGAGACCCCGATGCGGGACTCGATCCCAGAACCCTGGGACCTTGACCCGAGCCGAAAGCAGAGGCTTTAACCCACTGAGCCACCCAGGCACCCCATAAATAAATAAAATCTTTAAAAAATAATAAAAAAGAACCTGGCGTCTGGCCCTTCTCCCTTGGGGACAGTTTTGTATCTTGAGAGCAGCACCTGAAACTGGGGGGTGGGAGTCCTGGGTCCCAGTCCTGGCTGTGGCAGGAGGTGGATGAGAAGCCTCAGGGCCCCCTTCCCTACAGGCCAAGCCCTCAGGCTCTGTGTCCATGTGGCCTCTGTGGGGGGCAAAGGAGACACAGCTTTGGAGGTTTCCAAAAGAAAAAAAGGGTCCTGGTAGTCAGAACACTGTGTCCACGAAGATGCCCTCACAGAGAGCAGGGGCCCCTGAGGATGAGGTTGGGGCAGGGGAAGGTGGGGTGCTGGTGGGGAGAGGCCTCTCCTGTAGACAGAGCTTTGAGACAGCTCCCCAGGGAAGGCTGGGAGGTGGTTTTCTGCACACAGAGAGCGGAATGTAATCAGGCATTTCAGGCAGGGGGCCCAGCCCTAGCAGAGGAGCTGGGGGGGGGGGGGGGGGGGGAAAGGGGGGGGGGGGCCCCCCCCAGGGGGGGGGGGGGGGGGGGGGGGGGGGGGACCAAGGGGAGGGGAGAGCCTGGAGCAGGGAGCAAGCGCAGAGGCAGGAGGGGAGAAGCAGGCAAGAGAGGAGCTGGGAGGAACTGGACCTTCTGTGGGTGTCCTGGTAGGGGATAAGGAAAACCCTCTTGCTTCTGTCTGTGCTGAGAGGGGTGTTGGGGGCAGGGAGGCTGCTGAGGAGACATGACATTTCCCCCTTTCTCCCCATGCAGGAGCCTGATCCCCCTGGGACATGTGACGTGCAGCCAAGTAAGTGACACCTTAGTGGGTCCTAATGGGTGTCCCTGGGAGGGTATCTCAGTCTGAGTGCACAGTGGGCTGGTAGCTGGCCAGGCCTAGACTTGCTTTGGGGATTCAGGGCCCCTGACCTGGAGCTGAGAGAGCCCTTGCCCTGCAGACCTTCCCTCAGGTCAGCCTGGCCCAGTGCCAGACTGTGGCTGGAGACCCCTCTGTGGGGCTGGGGAGAGACAAGCTGGGGGACCTGGCTTGCCTTCCAGTTTCTGAGGCCAAGTTGGATGGACCCTCTTCCTCTGGGAACACCCAAAGAGAGCCCCCCACTGCTTCCCCGGGCCAGTGGGTGGGGTTGAGCAGAGTCCCCGGGTGAGGGGAGAGGGGTGAGGCATGGAGTTTCCCTGGGGAAGCTAGGTCCTGTAAACTCCAGCTCTCTTGAGCCAGGAGGGTTCCCCTCATCTATGGGTGGGGTGGGGAGCTGCATGCTGCCCTTTATCCCAGACCTGCACTTGTATCGGGGGACTGATGGAGGCCAGGAGGGGAAGGCTAGGATCCAAACTCTGTCCTTCCTTCATTTCATGGCCTCAGGAAGAGCATGTGGCCCATTGGGCCTGTATTTATTCACAAAGGTCATGGAAGGCCTGCCCTGTGCCAGGCCTGGGATACAGTCTAGAGGTGAGCAAAGCAGAATTCAGGATCTGTGGGTAGAGGCACTGATACACCCTGGACAAGGCCCTTGGAGCACGGGCCTTGGGTGTCCTCCGGCTGCCCACCCCAGCTCCACTAGGCTGATGGTGGTCTTTACCAGCCTGCTGAGGGTGAGGAGGGCCCCACAGCCTGGAGTACAGATGGACCAGCGACTGCTGAGCTGGGGTCTGGCCGAGGGACCACAGGAAGAAATGGGATTTGGATGATGCTAAAGACGTTGTGAGGGGCAGGCCTCAGTGCAGGGCTTGCCTGGTCTCATGGATATCCTGCAGAGAATAGTGAGCCCCATATGCCTGTTGGGGCCGGCAGAGGCCCAGGGATGTGCCTGAGGTCAGAGAGCAGGTTGTCACGGAGTGGTGACTAGCATCCGTGTGGCCTGGTAGTGGTTGTTGAGGCTAAAGGAACAGAAAACCTTGCCTGGAGCAGAGACCCCAGAGAGCTCTGAAGATGGAGGCCCTGACCCCTCTTCTCCCCCTCTCTGCTGCCCTGGAAGGAGGAAGGGCACTCAGCCAGCTGTGGATGGGGCCTCCCCGCGAGCCCGGAGTATGTGGGGCATGGGTGGGCACGGGGGCCCCAGGGCCAGGAAGCGGGTGTATGAGCTCCCTAGGGCTGCCAGAGCAAAGGACCACAAACTGGGGCCTTCAGATGGCAGAAATGCGTTCTCTGCCTGCCCAGGATCCCGAGGCCCAAATTCAGAGTATTGGCAGGGTTGGTTCCTCCCTCTGCCCTGGGGAGAAAGCATCCCGTGCCTCTCTCCTGGCTTCTGGTGGCTGCTGGCAATGCTCAGGGTCCTGTAGATTTCCTGCCTTTTCCTCTGTGTCTGAGTCTCCTCTCCTTTCTCTTGGAAAGGCCCCAGTCAGGGATATAAGGCCCACCTGAAATCTGGGCTGAACTCATCTTGAGATCCTTAACTAATGATGTCTGCAAAGACCCTGTTTCTAAATGAGCTCGCCTTCACAGGTTACAGGGATTAGGACTGAGTATATGTTTTCGGGGCGGGGTGGGGACACTGTTTAACCCACGCTATGGGGTGAGCCCAACAGACTGGAGGATGAGTGTCCTCCCCGCCGCTGGCTCTGCCCCTAGCCTCTCTGCCCATTCACTCGCTCACGTACCTGCTCGTTCATTCCCTCCACCTGCCCACCAAGCCACCCACCCCTTCTGTCTTGTTTCAGGCGTAGCAGCAGCGGGGGGCCTCTGAAACAAGAGAGAAGGGATCCTGGGAGCGCGCGGATGGACAAGCGGATGGATGGATGGAAGGAAAGAAGGGTGCCCCGAAGACCTGCAGGGGAGGGGAAGAGGTGGCTGTCAACCCTGCACCCTACTTGAACAGTGATGCCCCCCTGCCGCTCCCCACATTCCCAGGCAGGGCGAGGGCAGCCAGTCCCAGAGCCACCTCTCTGAGATTAAGGCCGGCCCCTTTCCACAGAAGCAAGGAGAAGGGCGGCCAAGGGCAGCTGGCTAGAAAGCAGGAGGACCTCCCACCAGAAGGCTGTGGGAAAGGCCGTGCAGGACTCTCTTTGAGCGGTCCTCTGCACAGCCTTCAGCGTGGCGCCGGGCACCCAGCTGGTGCCCCCATGGGACACAGTTTTTCCCAGAAGAGGATCCCCTTAGGTTTGGCTGTGTTCTCTCCCTCAAAGAGTTGGGGTCCCCCAGTGGACAGTGACACATGCCTTCACTGACATTAAAAAGCGTACATTGGCACATCAAAGCTATGACTGCATGATGTCCTTGCTTCAGGTGAACCTAATACGAGCGCTCAGGTTCGGAAGACGGGAGGGTTCATGTGGCCTGTGGTGTCGGGGGAGCAGGAAGGAGGAGTTTGCCAGGGATCCCGAGTCAGTTGCTTTGGGCCCCAACTGGTTCACAGATGTCTGTGTTTGGGGCATGGAATGGTTGTCAATATTAGAATTAGTTGCCAGCATCTAAAAGGGAGGTGGCATTGCAGAGGAAAAGTCTGGCTTCTCAAAAATGGGGACTGTCTGGCTGTAATGGACCTGCACTGTGCTTGTGAGGACAGTCTGAGCAGCAGCTGCCTCCCAAAGACAGGGAACACGTTCCCACTCACCCACATACACTGTGCCCCAGGCCTTGGCCTTGGAGACCCCTCACGTCCCGACCCTGTGGCACGGGGAGGGCAATGCGGGAGAGGGAATAAAGTGAGCAAAGGCCTGGAGGTGGGAGAGGGAGAGAGGTGGGTGCTTCCGTGAATCTTGAGTTCTTAGTTCGGAAGGTAAAACTAGAAAAGATGGGGCCTGATTTTAGGGGACTAGACTGTAGGCAATGGGGAGCCATTGAAGGTGATTGAGCAGGGGAGTGACTTCACAAAGACTACTCTGAAGCTTAGCAAGCACTGGAGGTCAAAGAAGCAAAGGCTCTTGAATTTCGGGCCACACCTGAAGCATTGAGGACCCTGGCCTGCTGGAGAGGGTGAGCCAGGGCTCAGGCTTTGCCAGCAACGCAGGGTCTATTGGGGGCCTTGGCCTGGTATCTATGCCCCCACCCTCCCTGTTTGCTGGTCCTGGAAACAGGAGCTCCGTCCCCAGATGCACCTGAGGACTTCACTGCTGGACTCAGAACCCCATTCAGATGCCCTGAGGGACGTCTGAGCCTGGCAGGGATGATGCTGGCCAGGAGCTGGTGTGCCAGTGAGGCACCCCAGGGGCAAAGTTTCAGCTCCAGATGGAGCAGGGCTTTCCGTGGGAGCTTGAGCACCCACAGTGCCTCAGTGGCCTTATCTGTGACCCCAGGGTGGGGCCCTGGAAAAGCTAGGAGAGCTGTGAATTGGATGCCTACAGAGAGGGTCTCGGAACCCCGGCTTTGGGTCAGTGTGGCAGAGTACCCTGTGCCTGGCCCGCCTGCCCAGTGCCTTGGTCATGGTCCTCTTCTCAGAGCCACAGAGTCTTTGGCTATAATATGGGGACAGTATAGGGCATGGCTCACAGGCCTGGCACAGACATGGAAGGAGGAAAAGCTTGTAAAATGCTTACTCACTAAAGAGCTCCTGAATAGAAAGGGTTGAAAAAGAAAGCAAGGCTGTCAACAAAGATCATACCAACTCTTCAAAACACCAAATATGGGCTCATCCAGTGCCTGTTATGGAGAGGCCCCCCATGCCAGGGAGACACTCCCGGGGCATGTTTATCTCCTGGGATAGCACCCCAGGGAATCGGGAGTCAGGAGACCTGGCAATGCCTCTGACATCCTGTGGGGCCTTGGCCAAGTTGCTCAGGCTCTCTGAGCTGGCTCTGTGGTTTATAAAATGGCGAGAGTACTGTTCTCCCCATGCAGAGGGGGTGAAAGCTAATGAGCCCATGGGCCAGAGGTTGTCCTGTTCCCTGGTGTCCCCTGCTGTGTCAGGTGGGGCCTTGTACCCCAAGTGGCTGCTCAGGGTAGAGATGCTGCCCCATGACGACAGTGTTTTAGAATGACCTGTATGATGTGTTCCACCACTGGACTTGGGCCATGCTTGGAACATCCTCCCTGGTCAGACCCCAGGGGTGTTTGTAGGGCTGGAGGAGCCAGGACCGGCGTGGAAAAGGCTGGCTAGTTCAGGATGCATGGCTGGTGGGGCGGGGGAGGCTTCCTTGGAGGGCAGGATGATCCTTCCTCTGTGAGGCAGGATAATGTCTGTACTTGGGAGCTAGAGGCAGAAGCAGAAGGGGCAGCTCTCAGAAAACAGATAGCCCTGTGCCAGGCACATGGGAAACACCCTGTAAAGGAAGGTTTTAACCTGGGTCTCAGTTTGCTCATCTGTAAAATGGGGAATAATATAAAAGAGGGAAAAAATGGGGAGTAGCAATTATTCCCACCTCAAAAGGTTGGTGTGAGGACTCATTGAGTTAATCTGTGTGTATCACTACAGGCACATAGTAAGTGCTCAGTAAATGTAGCTGGTATTATATTATTTTTATTCTACACTGTGAGCCATAATTTCCAGTCACAGGATAAGATGTGAGACCAACTTCCATTTAAAGTCACTGTTCATAGTTTCATGCTTGGTTCAAGGGCCAGCCAAGACCTGGAGTTTTTGGGAACACCTGGGATCCAGGCAATCTCCCCTCTTCCCCCCACCCTTTCTCTTGCTTGTTGGGCTTAGGTTCCTGATGAGACTACCCTATGCCCACTTCTGCCAGGCTCACAGCCCCACACCATTTGCATTGTCAGAGACCCGGGTACATGGAGAAATAGTGACAATGACCAATTCCAATCTGAAGATGAGACCTTCACTACCGGAAAGTCAATCCCCTTGGAAGCTGGAGCCTCTAGGCCCAGAAGGGAAAGACTTCTGGAAGCCGATGCTGAGGTTAGGAGCATGAGTATGCTGTCACCAGTGGGCAGCATCTAGAGAACAGGCAGGGGGCAAGCTCTCTCTGCATCCTTCGGGACAGTCCAGGCCACCATGCACTTGCAGCCTGGAACTTTCATATCACCTGTGAGGCCATGGTTCTGCTTTTGCACAAACTTCCAAGAAGGAGGCCCAAGGGGACACACAGGCTAACTGTAATCGAAGCTCTATCTCAAGAGGAAAAGGAGGGGGAAGACGACTGGAAGGAGACAGTGTGAATGAGCGCGAGCTTCAGCCCGGCACCTTAGCACTGATCTGGTTGCTGAGGTTCCCCGCTTAATGGTGCTGTTCCTGCTGCTTGCCTGAGAGCTGGCTCACGGTGGGTGATGGCCGAGGCCCCCCCATGTGGTCTCTGGGACTCAGAGGCCCAAGCCCACTCTCCCCCACCCACCCTGTGTCCCCTGCAGTCTGCATCCTCCCTGGAGGCCAAGAGGAGCCCGATCTTGTCCTAGAAGAGGTTGACCCTCACTGGGAGGAGCACGAACGTCAGGATGGCGGCACTGACCTGCAGGGCTCAGAGGCGGTTCCAGTTGATGAAGAGGAGAACGAAGCCGTGGAGGAGATGCCCAGGTGGGAGCCAGAAAAAGCCCTGGAAAAAAGTGATTGTTTGGGAAGATAACAGGCATGTGGTAGGGAATCCCAGAGGTACCAAGGGGCTTACAGAGCAGGAACCGAACCTGCTTCCACTCCTCCTTGCTGCACCTTGCTCTGTTCGCTCTGGTCTTTCCACTTCCCATGCCCAGAAAGATCACCCACGGTTGTTTTTACAACTGCGTAATATTCCACCGTGTGAATGTGCCGTAATTGGACTAATCTGCCCACCACAGACATTTATGATTCTGAAATTGTGTTCTTATAAATAATTGTGCAACAAACACTCTGGCACAGATGTCCTTACACAGGCACATGAGTAGGTGTCCAGGACAAATTTCTGGAAGGGGGACTATGGGGTCATGGGGCATGGGAACGTGTGACCGTGGTAATGATTGCCACTTGCCCTCCATAGGGACAGCATGATCTTTGTTCCCACCAGCGATCTTGTTGATAGCCTCTCGAGCTGGGAGGTCTCAGGTCCTCGGGCCCATGACCTACATTGTAAAGATGGGGAAACTGAGGCTCAGAGAGGCTCAGGGGCTGATCTAGGGATGACACTAGGACAGCAGGGGCTGGGTCAGGTCCCTCGTATCATGAAGAGGCTGCTCAGGTGGGGTTCCTCAGATCAAGTCTTGGTTGAGAAGTTCAGCTCTGGTCTCAGGGCTCGCAGGACATCTTCCTGAAAATGGAGACAGGAATGAGATGGGGGAAACTACAGGTGGCCTCACTTCCTACTTCTGACCTCAACTCAGGGAACTGCCCCAGATTCAAGAGGAAAGAGAAGATGAGGAGGAGGATGGAGAGGAAGAGGAAGAAGAGGAGGAGGAGCCGGAGTAAGGCACTTGTGTGTTCTTCGTCTTCTCCGCAAGGGTGACCCAGGGAGGGTTACAGTGGGGGTAGTGGGGCTTCTGGTTGGGGCGGCGGGGAGCGCCTCAGTTTGTTCTGTGCTGTGTGCTGCTGGGCACTGACCAGAGAGGCTGGGGAAGCTGGGGGTCTCCCACTGTGCTCACAATGACCCGGAATTCCTATGGCCCACCACTTCACAGCCTCCCACACACCTATACCCACACCCACCACACACACACACACACACACACACACACACACACACACTAGAATGCAGCCTCCTTGGGGGTGGGGGATTTTGTCTGTTGTGCTCACTCCCACGTCCCTAGATCCTTGGTGCCAAATGAGTGTTGGCTGAATGCATAGATGGATGAGGGAAGGGGCCCATGCAAGGGGCTAACAGCCCCTGTCATAGAACCAAAGCATTGGGCTGCGTCCCCCTCCACCCCGCCCACAATGGTCCCATGGGTGCCTCTGACCCCGCGAAGGCCACCCTGGATTCTGTCCTCCTGGAATGGTTGATTCTCTGCTCTCACCCATAAAGATTATACCTGAACACACAGAGGAATCAGTCATAATAATGCTTCAAGAATGGCGATCAGAAACCACTTAAAGTTTAGTCATCAAACCTGCTGAGAGACTAGATCTTAATTATTCCAACAACTAAAAAGAAATGATCATTATATCACCCAGTAGAGGTGCTAATTGTCATCACGGTGGCAATCACATTTAATCTACAAACGTGTCAGATCAACGTGCTGCTCATCTAAAATTTATATAATGTTCTGTATCAAACATATTTCAATAATAATACAAAAAGACCACTAAGATGGAGAAGATTTTTCCCAATGTGTGTTGGACAGAAGGACAGATGGAAAGGGGACAGATGGGGAGATGGAGAGCAGACAGCTGGACCTGAGGGTGGGGTTGGGGGTGAGAGGTTTGAGATATAAAGTCAGGAGTCTGGCTGCATAGACGGAACTGGAAACCACGGGGCTGGAGGAGATGCTGGGGGAGCCGGTGTGGAGAGAGGAGAGGCCCAAAGGTACCAAAGAGGGGAGTGGGAGACGAGAAGAGCATAGAACCTGGGGGTTTCGAAGAGAGCCTCAAAAGCAGCCCACATGTCTGGGGACAGTGACAGTGCAGCTGGTAGACATGGGTGGGGGGGAGATGGTGCTTCAGAGGCAGGGGACCCGGTTGTGAAGGCCTTGGACTTGCTCTCCCAGGAACAATGGGGAGCCACTGAAGGTTTGTGAGCAGGGGAGTGGCGTGTGCAGCTGCACTGTGGAGAGGCTGAGGCAGGGAGAGCCGTGTGGAGGCTGTTATCATGGGGCAGTCCAGACTGATTTAACCTGTCCCTTGCATTATTCACTGTCCCTGGGCCCTCTGTGGTGTCCCCTGGCCCACACCCTTCCTCCCTGGCCTGAGACATGGGCTCTGCTCCTCCTGGCAGAGAGATCTGGGCAAGTTCACACCGCACAGAGCATCTGCCTCTGCATCCGTGGAATGGAGACACACACAGCCCCAGCAGAGTGGTGACAGGGCCAGCTGTGTAGCAGGCATATTAGGGCCTGGCCTGCAATGGGCGCCCCATCAAATGTCGTTGATGTTCTCATCCCCACTGAGGGTCCCTTCCAGTCCCAGGCAGGAAATCGTTGCACTGTGAAACCAACACAGGACTTCCAGGCTGGAGGCCTGCTCAGTGGCTTCTGGTTTTAGTCCACCTATCCCTAGTTCACATATAATTTTTTCATCCTTGGCTGGAGGCTACACACCTACTTGCTTGCCTCCAATGATAGGGAGCTCACAACCTCTTGAGGACTGTCCATCCCATCCTTATACACCTCTGGCTTATGAAATTATTTCCTCCACAAAAATAAGCATGTTTCCCTATGGTTTCTGTGACACAGTCCGATTTCTGTCCTCTGGGTCCCCTGGAGCCAGGCTGCCCTCCCTGACAGGTGACACCCGATCTCCTGGATGAAGACTTAGGTGCAGCCCAGCCTTGTTAGTGCAGCCCCATCTGCCATCTGCTTTCCGCCTCAGAGGCCAGCAAGTCAGTGTGCTCACACACACGCACATGTAGCAAACACACATGTGTTCTCAGTGCACAGTATACATGGGCATACACACATATCTGCACTCTATGTACACACAAATACACACAAACTGACACGCTGGGTTGTGTGCAGGTATGCACACAGTTACACCCACACATAGCCTGCACACACAACCCACACTTGCACATGCAGGCACACTGCTACGCACTCGCACGTGGCCACCCTACGCCCTGCACGCATGCTTGTGCACACAAGCACAGGTATGTAGCTACCCACAAATGCTCCAGACACGCACGTATCCACACAAATGTCTATCCAAAGTTTCCAACTCTGGGAACTTTTGGGCCCCGGGCTCCTAGGTTGGGACAAGGGCACCAGTTGGGAGAGTGAGTGATGTCCGGGCGAGGGCCAGAGTGCATGGGGCACGGGCGGAGGGACTGGGCTGTCCCTGGCTGAGGGAGGATGCTCTGGGCTGGCTTCGTGGAGGCACAGGGGTTACTGATGACGTGCACGGGCCCTGGTAACAGGCAGACGGTCGCCTAGCGACCTGGTTTCTGCCAGCAACAGCTCAGCTTTTCCTAGCAACCGCAGCCTTTCGGTCCCCACCTGGCCTCCCTGGGGGCATTTCTGCAGAGTTCCCGGCACATCCCCTCAATTTGATTAGAAGCAGGAAGGATCAGTGGCTCATCGGCGACCCAAGCCACACTGGCTCCAGAGCTGGCCTGGCAGGCTTGGGGCTGGGCTGGGGCTCTCCCAGTTGTCTCCCTGTGTGCCCCCGACCTGGGGCTTGGGATGTATGTCATCGCCCCCAGCTGACCTCCTGCATCATGGGCGTTCTTGTTGGCAAAGACGGCGAGACCCAAGTAGGTGGCTCCTTCTCCCTAAGGGCTCCCCTTCTTTCTATCAGGGTTGGGGTGCCTAGTGAGGAGTGTGCCGAGGACCCTTGCTTTGGGCTGTCACCTGCCAGGTGACCTGGGGAACAAGGAGCAGATAGTCAACTCTTGGCTACTCCCTGCACCTTTAACTCGGATGGCCGGCTGCGGGGGTCGTGCGGGGGTCGTCCGGGGGTGCCCAGCTCAGCCAGTCTTTCTGATCCTCCCCTGGGATTGGGGAGGTTTCTAGAAGTGGGTTCTCTGTGGCTTCTGGGCCAGGCAAGAGGGGGCCTTGGGCACATTGCTGACCAGGGGTAAGATGACGTTGGGTACATAGCTCCCCAGGCAGCCCCTGGTGGTGCTGACAGGGCCACGGTAGGGCTTGTTAGATGTTTCCCAATCCACGTGGGCGATTCCTAATTCCACAGATGCTGCCTCCTTTACTATTAGTAATAATAATGACGAGAACGATCATGACAACGGTGGCCATTTGTGTAATGCTTGGTGTCCATGCCAGACTCTGGGCACTGATTATTCATCCTGCTTCACAGACGAGAGAACTGGGGCTCAGCCACGGTCCCCTCCACGTCCAGGGTGCGCTGCCAGCGAGCACAGAGCTGGGAGCAAAACCAACACTTGATGCCCCATGAGAGGAGAGTTGCTTATCAGTGTTGAGAGATGGAGGATCAAGAATGACACCAGACATGGGAAGTGTTTTTGACTTTTTCATGAGATTCTCACTGGCCCTTTTGATCTCCCTCAGAGAAGTCAGGCTGGACAGGCTGAGCAGTCCTGCTGATTTGACAGATGGGCAAACAGAGGCAGCCCGAGGGCTTCCCGGTATTGTGCTCAGGGCCATTCAGGGATTTCCTGGCCTCATTCTAGAATGAGCAAGACCCCAGGCTGTGGATGTTCATGTCCTTGGCCTTCGTGCTTTGAGAACCGGGAAAGGCATGGTTCCCATCTCACGTCTAGGGGCCTTCAAGCACATTTTAATTTCTTTTAACGTCAGACTCAAAAATGAACTTTTCAATGGAATAGGTTATATATAGTATTGAATCTTATATAAATACAGTCACAAAACATAATTTTTACTTTTAAGGATGAAGGGACCCAAGAAGGCTAAACTGCTCAGGCAGAGTCATCATGTGCCCTTGCTTTTGAGACTTGAATCTCTTGAAGAAAATCTGTTTCTTCCGGGCAGGGTAGGGAGTATGACCCTGACAGCTGAGGCCCCTTACATAGAAAATAGCTACGTATCGATGAAGGGAAATGAAGAGAGCTGAGTGCCGGGATCCTCAGGACACTTGCCTCACTCCTCTGTCCCGTGGGGCCGTGTAGACTCTCAGAGGCAGGCAGCCAAGCATTGCGTACATGCCCATGTTTCATCTAGGCTTGCCTTGTGCCAGCCTTGTGACTGTGGATGGACCATCTGTGCCTTCAATTGCTGAGCTGGAATGGGACCAGTCACAGCCCTGGGCTCTCAGGGTGGTCTGGCTGAGGATGGGGGCCACTGTGACCATGTGATCACTGACTGAGTCCCTCTCCCAGGCCTCTAGCTCCAAACTGACTGGGGCTGCCATTCTGTCCCCACCTCCTCACCCACCTTGGGAGGGCTGAAGGTTGGAGCTCTGGGTAGGAGATGGTGAATCTGGGTTTCCTGGACGGTGGACACAGCAGACCACCCTCCATGAGCTGACAGAGGTCTGTGGGGCAGGGTGGGCCACCAGGAACCAGGATGCAGTTCTAATTATGGAAGTCCCATTGGCCCCTGGATCTGAGTCACCATTTTAACCCACAGGCCGCACACAGGCTTCGAAGGGCCCAGTTTAACCTGTAGATGGGCTCTTTTGTTTATCTACATATTGCTAGGAGTCTATTAACTTGGATTAATTTCTAGCATCTAAAGATTAGAGATTCTACCTTTAAAGGTGGAGTTCAGGCTCTTCTCAAAAATCAGATCTTCCAAGCCAAGTGGGGTTCCCGACTCAGATCTGTGTGGTGTCAGACAATCTGCTGTGTGACTTTGGACAGCTCAGATCACCTCTCTGGGCCTCACTTTTCTTGTACTCCCCGCCCGACCTGCATCACCAGCGTCGCCTAGAGGCTCGCAGAGGGGAGATGCTGGGAGCACATTTTGAACACTGTTCAATACGGTTTGTTCCCACCCCGCAGAGGACAATCCCTCAAGCCATCCACCATGCTTTTCTTTGCACATGCTGTTCCCCATTCCTGGATACCCTTCCTCGCCTATTCCTCACTGTAAACTCATTGTCCCTGAGGACATTGCTTCCTTCCTAGGCACAGTGGGGGTCTGCCTGGCCCATTTGGGGAGCCTCATGAGGGTGAGGACCTATTCTTGGCCATCTTTGTGCACCAGCTCCCAACAGAGGGTCTGGCTGCCGTTAGGGCTCAGGAAATGTCTAACCCCCCTAACACTAGCCCTTTCCTCCTCCCCCTTGGGGTCACAGTGTCCTGCTGGATAGCTGTCTGGAGGCGCAGGCTGGTGAGGATCCAAGTGGAGTAGACGGGACCCAGCCCCAGAAGGCCTTGCAGCAGGTACAGAGCAGCACCAGGCCTGGTACCCAACTACTTCTGGGGCCTGGCTGGGCTTTGTCTACTTTGTTTACAGAGGGATTTTCAGCTGGTGAGATGCCCCCTGGACAAAGGGGAGCAGGGTGGTGTGTACTGCAGGGCCTGGCTTATACCAGGGGTCAGATGGGGTCAGGGAGGGCCTGGGGTGACACGGCCATGGGTGGGGAGCAGCTGGTCCTTAGGCCAGTCCTCACATGGCTGTGTGACCCTGGACACATCACCTCCCCACTCTGGGCCTATAAAATGGGGCTGAAAACCCCTCCTCATGGAGTCCCACAGAGTCGTCCACTGTGAAGTGCAGTGCCCAGGTGGAGGGGTGCTGTGGCGGCTGCTTGGTCCCCACATACACAGAGCTGCATGGGAACACCCCCTGCTCTGTGCCAAGTCCAGGTGCGGGAGCCCAGGGCTTCTGGGTGCCCTCCCCTCTACATGGTGGGGGCCATCTCCTGGGTGCTCCAGCAGCTGGAGGGGCAGGGCCTGACCAATCCCGCAGAGCAAGGAGTTGAATAGGGGCCCAGGTGACCTCTTGAAGACAGATCTCCCAACAGGATCTGGGCTGGCCTGGGGCGAGGAGGGGCCTTGATGGTCCAGCTTTTGTTTCCACTTTCCTGTCCGCAGGAGCTGCCAAAGGAAGAGGCCGTGACTGTCAGTCCAGAAGGTAGGGGTGTGCTGGGGGTGGGGGGCGGGGCACAGCGCTTTGACAGATGATACTTTCAGGCTGGGGGCAGCCTGGGGATAAGGGCTCTCACCACCCCCATCTCTACTGTCCCCACACCCTTGCACCTGTCTCATCCTCAGACAAAACCTGTCCTCTGTGTCTTGGGGCCACATTATCAGAGCTTGGTGATGTATTTCAAAGGCCCCAGGGGAATTGCGGGAGGCTCTCGGGACGCCAGCAGTCCCGTGGAAACCCCACTCTCAGTCAGCCCTTCCTGCCCCCCACCCGCACTCGCTGGGAACGCAGCTCTCTGGGCTACCGTCTAGAGAGGGTTTGGATGAAACGGAGCATCTCTGAATGAAAATCAGGACCCAAGCTTGCAAAGGGCCCGTCCTGGACCCCGTGTCCTTTTTTTTTTTTTTTTTTTTTAAAGATTTTTATTTATTTATTTGACAAACAGAGACCACAAGTAGGCAGAGAGGCAGGCAGAGAGAGATGAGGGGAAGCAGGCTCCCTGAGGAGCAGAGAGCCCTACGCAGGGCTCGATCCCAGGACCCTGGGATCATGACCTGAGCTGAAGGCAGAGGCTTTAACCCACTGAGCCATCCAGGCGCCCTGTGGACCCCGTGCCTTGATGAGCTTTTTCTTCCTGGGCAGATCCCCAGGCTGAACCCAGCACATGCACTTTGCTCTTATTTGCCACTCCCACTCCTGAACCTGAGAACTCCAGTCTTGGTGTGGCAGAGTCTTGGGGAGCCAGGCTGGGGAGCCCCAGACAGACAGACATGGAGCCCTGGCCTTGTGAGACTCCATGCTTCTCAAGCCACCCTGGGAGGCAGACAGACCATTTCACAGATGAGAAAACTAAGGTTCTGAGTGGGCAGGAAGTGGCTGAGCACTCAAGGCCACAGACCTGCACTTCACTCTGGGTTCCTCCCTCCGCCTGCTGTGGGACCTGGAGCCAGGCTGTGTGACCTCTCCTAATTGTGGCTCCCAAATCGAGAAAGACAGGGCAATAGTAGTACCTGCCTCATAAGGCACTTGGTCAGAGTGGCAGGGGGACAATGTGTCGAAGGTACCCGAAGCTGTGTGGCACCGAGGCAGGAGGCCATAATGGGGACCAGCCAGCCGGCAACTGACACGGGACTAGACGCAGGTGTCCTGACCCCAGGTGTCCCAAGTTTGCTCCCCACCTGATCTTTGAAAAGCACCTTTTTTTTTTTTTACGATTTTATTCATTTATTTGTCAGAGAGAGAGTGCACAAGCAGGGGGAGAGGCAGGCAGAGGGAGACGCAGACTCCCCATTGAGCAGGGATCCCCATGCTGGACTTGATCCCAGATCATGACCTGAGCCGAAGGCAGGCGCTTAATGACTGAGCCACCCAGGCGTCCCTGATTCTAACTTTTTCTGTCTGAGGTGGAAAATGCTACATGTGGTTGGTTAACAGAGAAGCTCAAGAAGGAGGGGGGGGTCCAGTGCTGTCCCTTGGAGCTGGCGAGTAGACGAGTCAGCGTGACTTGGTGAAGCATTCAGTGTTCACTCCAGGGACACAAATGCTGTTCGGGCGTTAGGGGCAGCTGCTACAAGCACAGGCAGGCACGGGGTGGGTCCACGTTGGCGCTGGTGGGGAGGAGCCCTCCCCCACCTCCCCCAACCCTGTGTTCCTGGTTGCAGTCCCCAGGGTTCCACACCCGCCTGAGCCCCACTGGCCCCAACACCATGGCTCAGCCAGGCCAGGACGTGGAGCTGAGTCGCCTGGTCCAGGACCAGCCGCCCGGCCAGGTGGCCCCAGGGCTTGCTCCCCCAATCCTGGCAGAGCACCTCCCCAATGTGCCCAGCTACCGCCCCTCAATCACCCGCATCCCCGTCCTCATCTCCCGGAGGACGGCCTTGTCCAACTCCAACTTCGCCAAGGAGACCAGGAATTCCGTCCGTCGCCTAGGTAGTGTGATCTCGTGTACCCAGCATGCTCGCACGTGTGTTGTGGGCTCCTGCATGGCTTGGGCTGTTCCCTGCATGGGTACCATGGTCCAGGGATGGGATTAGCAGTTGAACTAGAAAACCACCCCCTCTTCCTCTGTTGATCAATGCCTTTATCTTGCTTCGTGGTGACTTAAGGGGTATTAGTCCACTTATCTCTGTACCTAAAATCCCATAATTAGCAATTAATTTCTTTGGGTTAAACATTGCATTCTGCAGATCATCATTTTTTATAGGTAGTCAATCACACCCTAGTTTAAATAAATTACTAAGATAGCTAGGCTAGGAGATCTGGGTGGAGAAAGAGAATAAATTGAGGGCAATGAGGCAGAAGTGGAATGTGGGGACCCATGTCAGACAGAATCCTACTGATCCTGAGGATTTTCTGGGACTTGGACTTTCTGAGGATTGTCAATATCCCTCCCTAGCAAATCCCATTTTAGGAATGGAGAGACCCCCAGGTGGCTGTAGGCCAACTAGGAGGGGAGGCATCCTCAGGGGCCAGTGAAGAAGGAGGGCAAGTCTGGATTCTGGTAGCCCTTGGGCTCCCGCTGCTTGCTTCGGGATGACAAGAGGACTCAGGGACAGCAGGGTGCTTCTGGACTAACCCCTATCACTTTCTCCTTTAACTTAAGCCACACCCACCCTCTTTCCCTTTTCATTTGTTTATTTTGGGGGGATAGTGTGCAAGGTTGCCTGTGAGGTCAGTAGACAGGCAGCATGGAACATTTCATGAGTAGAGATCCACTGCTGTCTTCTCTCCTTGGCTTGCAATAGGCACAGAACGAGGGCGATCAGCCCCACCACAAGGGTTGACGCCCCCAGGCGGGGTCTTCTGGGCAAGCCCTAGATCCACTCACTCCTGAGTGTCCCCTAATTTCCACCTCCCCCACAGATCCCTTCTGAATTTTTGCTATATTCTGTACCAATTCTACTTTGATTGGCTTGTCATTTTTCTTTCAGTGAAATCATTCTTTAAATTTAATTAAGTTTATTCAATCAGGAACCTTTACTATACTATTCCAGTGGGCAACCATCATTGCTTGCCATAAATAGAGGGCATAAATAGAAATAACTGCAAATGAACTGAAAACCAAGTCATGCAGAGAATTTCAGCAAAGGGTGATGGCCTGCAGAAGGCTCCCAGGGGAGACCTGCCCTCTTAGCCACAAAGGTGTTAAGGCTGAGGGGCACGGGGCTGAGACTGTCTCTGTGCGTTCAGAAGCTAGAGAGGACTGAAATGGGAGGAATGTTCTCATTCCACATTTCCTTTGTCGTGTCTTTGCCATCCAAAGTCACCTTGTGTCCTCCCTGGTCCCTGGGAGCCTCCCCACTTGGGGAAACAGTCCCACTTCGGGGTTGGGACCATAGGCTGATGCAGCCATGGTGGTACGGCCCGCCATGGTGTGAGATGCTGCAGGTACGGCATGGCAGCCTGTAGGCAGCCCCGTGTCCAGGATGCTGCTTGGCCTGGAGCAAGCTTTTGTCCAAATGGAGACCTCTGCATGAGCGGGTCACTAGCCTCAGGATGAAGGAAGAGGATAAATTTTAGAGCCTGGCTGCCTGGGTCCAAATCTTGGCTCTGCGGCCAGTTCCTTCACCGCTCTGTGCTTCAGTTTACCCACAAGATGTGGACGGCAATAACAGTGCTCTTCTAGAAGGGCCCGGAAAGGGGAAAGAATTAATCTATATAAAGCACTAAGAGTTTAGTGAAACGGATGGCAGGCACGTAGGAAGGGCTTTATAGTAAATATGACTCTTCTCTCAACCAAGTTAATCATGCCGTGTTATTCTTTTTTTCATAATGTGATTTTGTTCTATAAACATGAAACACCGGGCTTAGGGGTTTTCCTCCATTCCTGGGGGCGACAGAGGTTGCAGAGTCTTGCTCAGGGTGAGGCGGGGTGGGGGAGGACCTGCCCCCTCCCAGGTTCCCCAGGACGGCCTTATGGAGGCTCCTGGGGCTATGCTGGGGGCAGTGTGGGGCGCTGAGCATTTTGGACAGTCCCCCCACCCCGGCCCGGTCCGGGAAGCTGGTTAAGGTCCCTCGTGCCTCACGCTCTCTCCTGCTTTCCACAGCCTGGGGAAATCTCTTGTTAGTCTGGCAACACCTCTTCCTTAAACGTTTAGAAACTTCTCTATTCCTGCTCGTCCTCTTCCTCTGAGGGCTTAAGGCTTAGTAGAGCAAATGCCAAAAGGTCTTGCTCAGCTTCCCTCCTAAGCCACATTCCACAAAGTGCCGGCTTTTCCCCATGGCGGCCATTTAAAAAGAAAGTCGAGTCTCCAAGGGCTTCAGAATGCTCCTCGTTCTGGGTACAATAGGCCCGGCTCTCAGCGAGTGGTCCCCCCCAGGTATGGCCGAGAGAGGGGGGCCCTGTCTTGGCCCCTGAGCGTCCTCTGAGCTTTGCCTCAGGCAGGCCTGTCCCCACAGTCCCTGGGGTGGGTGATAAAGACTGAGGCAGGGCCACCCCAGACTTGCAAGGGAGGACCCTGTCCTGGGATGTGGGACCCAACACACGGGACCCAGCACTAGGCCTCTCAGAGGTCAGGAGAGGAGTTGGGCTGATGAATTTCAGGGGGTCCTGGCACATCCAGAAACAAGGAGGTACCAAAACACATTCCCAAACAAGGGTGACACATACTTCAAGGAGAGGCTGTTATCCTTGATTGCGAGGAACTGCCCAATGTCTCCATTTGAGGCCCTTCAAGAATGTGAGGCCGTGTGCCTTTGTGACTCCCACTTTGGGATGGAGAAACTGAGGCCCAGAGAGGGGAAGCACTGAGGCTGTGCTAGGTCAGGCCCTCAGACTTGGACTCTCTCAGCCTCCCCCTGCCCTTTCTGGGTGCTGCCCTTCCCACCCCCCACCACTCCTGCCAAACCCCAGGTCCTTGAGCCTTCCCTAGGCCCTGGGAAACCAGAGCTTGGGAGACCTGGACTCCAGACCGCGCTCCGGACCTTCTGTGGCCTAAAGGTGTCATGGCTTCGTCTGCAGCTCCTGGGCTGGTGTCTGGGGTGGCCAAGGGCCTCAGAGGCCCCCGGGATCTGCATTCTTGCACCCCTGCATGGAGCTTTCCAGTGGGCCCCACTGGGAGGGGAGGCTCTTGGTGGCCCCTCCAAACATGCTTTCTGTGGCTTTATTCAGAACAGAGCAAAGCCCTTGGGACCTGGCTTCTCTCTCTCTCTGACTGTCCTCTCCTCCCTCTCTCCAAGTGCCGGCTACAAAGGAGCTCCCGGAAGTGCAGGTGGAAGATGTTGACACGGCCCACCATCCCCTCATCGTGGAGAACCCACCCACACCCGAGCTGCCACCACCTTCTCCTGCCAAATCCGACACCCTCGCGGTCCCAGGATCTGCCGCAGGGTCCGAAAGGTCAGCTTTTATGCTTCTCTTGGGCTTCTCACAGCACCGTCCCCTCTGTCCATTTGGCAGAAGGAGAGACTGAGGCCAGAGTGGGGAAAGCAGCTGGCCCAAGGTCACTCAGTGACTTGGTGTCAGAACTGGGACTGTGGCCCCACTTCCTGGTCCTCAACCCTGATTTAGGACTCTATAAAGAATTCTCCAAGGAAGTCCTGTCCCAAGTACTGTCAGCTGTAAGATAGAAGGTGGTTAATAAATGTGGAATAAATAAATGTGGAATAAATAAATTTCCACCCCCTTGTTTTACTTTAAAATAAGGGAATGGAGATACCAAAAAAACACTAGAAAAATAAGCATCCCTTGTCCCACTACACTACCTTGTCTATGGGCTCATGGTTTTGTGTGGTTTTCACTGGAGGGGTGACTTGGATCACATTTTTTTAAAAATATTTTATTTATTTATTTGTCAGAGAGAAGGAGAGAGAGCGAGAGCACACAAGCAGGCAGAGAGGCAGGCAGAGGCAGAGAGAGAAGCAGGCTCCCTGCTGAGCAAGGAGAGCCCATGAGGGACTCGAACCCAGAACCCTGGGATCATGACCTGAGCTGAAGGCAGCCGCTTAACCCACTGAGCCACCCAGGCGTCCCGGATCACATTTTATTAGAGACCACATCTGACCTTCCTCCAGCTCTGTGTGCCAGAATGAACTTCACAAATCCCTTCTTGTTGGACACCGTCCATAGTGAAGCTCTGGACATCTTTTGGGCTACTTTCTGTCCTTGGGCTCCTTTCTCAAAAGTGGGAATCTTGGTCAAGGTTGTGCACATTTTTATGCTTCTTGACAGAAATTTGTTGCATGATTGGAGTTGGTTTTGAACAGCCTGAGCCAGGTAACAGAGAGTTCTTGTATACAGCTGTAGGCAAACTGTGAAGTGCAGTTCAGTGCTTTGCGAATGACTGCATTTAAGCTGCAGGGGAGCTGCCAGTGCTTCTCCTGTGGTGGTCGCACTGGGAGATAGTTCCTTTTTCTTGATTAATCATTGCTCCCGTCCATGGGTCCTTGAGGACTCTCTCAGCCAAAGTAAAAAGCCTGCTGTAACAGAGATAGCTAGATGTGGCCAACTGAGGGCTCTCTGATTTTAATGTGAAGAAAAGAGTTATAATCTCATCTAGCCTTGGAACACAACTCACTGTCCCATTAATTCTTTTGTTTCATTCATTGAACTATGCAGAACACAGCAGAAACAAACAAACAAACAAAAAGAGCTAATATTGTTACAGACATCTGGCCTACCTCTCTCTGTTTTCTTTTTATAGGCTAGGTTGGGGGTGGATATCTGGGCACAGAGAGGGGAGTAGGCTCCTTTGGGAATAGAATCTAAGCCCTCTGCCTTCTGTTTATGGGATGGGCCTATGAGTCTTCTCTTGTTCTTATCATTGACTCATTGACTCATTCATTCATTCATAAACATTTATTGAACATCTTCATGTATTAGGCTCTCTCTGGGTGCTGGGGGATGCATCATGGAGAAGCCTGACAGGGGCCTACTGTCCCAGAGCTGATGTTCTGGTGGGACTGAGATAGACAATGAACAAGGAATTAAATAAACAGACAAGACTGTCCTAGAGAGTTCTAAGTTGAACCTGACTTTGAGAAATCAGGGGAACCTCTACCTGAGTCTTTGCCTGAGCTTGACCCCGAGAGGGGAGAATTCTGATACCTGACTTGGGAAGCCTATGGGACTGCCTATGGTCAGGGGTGGAATGAGCATTGTGGGCAACTGATAGGCACCAAAAAGCCATGGAAATCACAGACCCTGATGGAGGGGCACATGGGCTGGGCCCTGCCTCATAGCTTAAAGCCTTGGTTTGAGGTGACTCCCATCTTACCACTTACCGATGTGAGGCTTGAGGCAAGCCAGTGAACACTCCTAATCCTCTGTGTTCCTACTGTAAGATGGGGATAGACACACCACCTGTTATGAGATTGCTGGAAGAATCCAGTGAGCTAACTCGTGCAAGGTGCTCGGCTCAGGGCTGCACGTGAAGCAGGGCTGTGGGAGCCTGGCTGCTGATGGCGTTCCACACTTTGGCATCTCGGGCAGCATGTGCCCTCCTGGCTCAGGAGAAGGCACCAGGCCGGGCGCAAGAGGACTGAGTTTGGGTCTCACCTGTGCAAATGCTAGCCTTGGTGTTAACGGGTGGGAATTTTAACTAGAGTGTGAAGGAGGTGAATCTGTGAGTGTTGCCATTCTTGGTGAGCTGGCAGAAGGCCATAGGATAGTTTCAGAGCCTCCTGGAATAAAGGCAAGGCTGCACATCCCTCCATCTGTTCCCTCTAGAAGCCTCTGAGATCCTGAGTCGAGATGGTTGAGGATGGGCAGAGTGACAGGCAAATTCACACCCAGACACCATCAGCCGGGACTCCGATGGCTGCAGATGCAGAGTCCTGTGGAAGACGTGGACTGAATGACAGGGCACCCCGGGGAGGATTTGCTCTTCCTTCCTCAGACAGGGAGCCTGGAAGGTGTGTACTAGGAGGGGAAAGCAGAAGAACATTTTAGCTGAGGCCCCACTGAGTCCTGAGTATCTCACTGAGTTGAGTAGATCTGGTCCCATTTTACAGATGGGGAAACTGAGATGGTTCAGAGAGTTTAAGTCACTTGCCAAGGTCACACACTAGTGGGAAGCAGGACTGGGATGCAAAATCCAGTCTGCCTGATACCAAGTCAATGTTGTTACTTTTACACTAGGACATTGAACAGATGTGGAGACTGAGGTCCAGAGGGCGACTGTGTCCCTTCCCTCTCTCTTTTTTTCTCCATGAAGGCAAGTGAGGACCCTTTGGTGGCACCAACACCCCTGGCCCCATTCCCCCCCTGCCCAGGGTTCAGCCCTGGGTGATCTGCAGGGGTCAAGATTGGCTCCCTTCCCCCTGTGGCTCCTGCCCTCGCTGAAGGCCCCTCCATGTCTGTGTCCTTGCAGGAAGAGGCTGCTCTCCCAAGATGATGATGTTGAAGAGCTCAAGGCACTGTCACCAGCTGAATCACCCATGGTCGCCTGGTTGGACCCGTCCAGCCCAAAGGGCACTGAGTGAGTGGGGAACACCCCTGGGTTTCAGAGGGTGGTTGGAAGTCTGGGTGGGGATGAGCAGACAAGGAGAGAGGGTTGAGTTGGTGGGGGAGAGTATGGATGTTTCTAGAACCTTCCACCACTTTGCCAACAGCTTCTGAGCAGTAAGACAGAGCTGGGTCTCCTGTCCAGGCTGCTTCTGGCTGGCCTAGGGGTTCTGTACAGTCTGTAAAATGCACAGAGGCTTTGTTGTAAAGGAGAGAGAGGCTCCCGGCCCCTCAGCCAAGGTTGGGTCCTGGCTCTAAACCCCTGAGAAGGTCAGCAGGGGGATTGAGGACCACAAGGATCTCCAGGGGTCTAAACTCAGGGAGCTTGTTAAAAATACGGATTCCCGGGGCACCTGGGTGGCTCAGTGGTTTAAAGCCTCTGCCTTCAGCTCAGGTCATGATCTCAGGGTCCTGGGATCAGGCCCGGCATTGGGCTCTTTGCTCGGCAGGGAGCCTGCTTCACCCCCATTTCTCTCTGCCTGCCTCTCTGCCTACTTGTGGTCTCTGTCTGTCAAATAAATAATAAAATAAAATCTTTAAAAAAAAAAATACAGATTCCCAGCTCCCAGCCCAGACCCACTGGATCAGAAGCTCAGACAGTGGGCCCTGGGGGACTGACATCTTTACAAGCCTTCAGCTGACTCTGATTATAAACTGGTCTGTGGGACAGTGTTTAGAGGCCACAGTGAGGGCACTGGGACCTGGGTCTGTGACATCTAACTATTCCAGGGGCTGGGCCAACAGAAGATGTTTTCTGGAAGAGTCTGGGATGCCTGGCTGATGGTGAATCCCCCGGTCCCTGGCTCTGGCCTGGGACCCCCATCCTATTCCCAGCCTCAGATTCTAGAGGGGACACAGGAGGCACTGGGCTTTCCTGCCAGCCTTCCCGCCCCCCCTCCCCATAATTTTATGGAGTATGTTTTAGGGAGCTGTGGAAAGTTCAGAAAAGTTAAAAGAGAAAGAAAAATAATCCAAACCTCACCCATAGTTCACTGGTCCGTGTGAATATACAGTGCAATTCCATCTTATGCAGTAGGGTAAGGACAGGGTCAGGGTTTAGTACCAGAAAACAGGGCAGGAATCAGTTATAATAATAAAAATTACCCTTGAAGCCTCTTAAGGAGTTCAGCGCGGGGACCCGTACATTAGTGAGGTGGGTTCAGCTGCTATAACAATTAGACCCCACAGATGCAGTGGCTTAAGCAACACAATGTCTCATTTATCATAATCATGTCACCAGACACCTGTTTCAGGTCAGTGGTGGGTTCTCCTCCAGGCAGTCGTTTAGGGACCCTGGTGGCAGCAGCTGTGCTACCTGTGTGTGGCTTCTGAGGCCCTGCGGGTCAGCCCTAGACGGAGAGAATGCCAGACAGGGGGCCCAGAGATGCACACAGCAAGTCCGCTCACGTTCTTCTTGGGGGAGCCCGCCCGGCCGCCCTCACGGGGACTCTGAGTCCCAGCGACCACTCCCCACGGGCGGGAGCGGATGTGGGCAAGCAGTTTGCGTCTCCGCATACCTGTGTGCCCTTTTTTGTTGGGGTCCCCATGCTGCTGGTCCCCAGCTGCCTCGTCAGGTGAGCACCCGGAGACTAGGGGACTTGATTGCCGGTGCCCCCATGTCAAAAAACAGATAGATGTGAAAACACTAGGATTGCACTCAGCTCAGCACGATGGTCAGAAGGACGCCACGCAGAGGACAGCTGATTTGCGGCCTGTCTCAGCCCACCCAGCGTGCTTGCCCCAGGCTGACCGGCGCCTCGGGCAGACTCCCATTCATTCTCTCTGTCCATCTCTCTGTCCATCTGTCTCTCTTGCTGCGAGTACAGACAGTTTAAATTCCTAGAAGTTAAAAGGATATGGAATGGATCTGCACTGTTTTTTTCCATCAACTATTTCCTGAGCCAAAAGCATAGCCCTGTCCCCTCTTTGATCTGTCCCAGACGCCAATCTCCTGGGAACCCCAAACTGGAGCTAACTGTCCTGACCCGAGTTCCAAGAGTTTCCCCCTAAATCACAAGTAGGATCAAAGTTTTCTCAGAACCGCCCATCGGAATCAGATCCTGTGTGGTACATTCTCTAAAAGCTGGGCACCCAGGTGTGAGCCTCAGACTGAATTTCCTCCTAGGAGCTATTAAAGTGGGTTTGATGTTTCTGGTGTCAGAAGGAAACTGGGGCAGCTTTTGCCTCCTTTGGGCTGGGTGGGATACAGAGGCTGCTCAGCTGTTGCCCGGGGGCATAGGGGTCCCTTCCCATCTAGCCTGCTCAGCATCAGGTGTGTCCACAGTGGCCAGGATCGTGCAGCCTCGGTGGCCAGCCAGAACAGCGCCATCATCAACGACCGGCTGCAGGAGCTGGTGAAGCTTTTCAAGGAGCGGACAGAGAAGGTGAAGGAGAAGCTCATCGACCCTGACGTCACCTCCGATGAGGAGAGCCCGAAGCCCTGTAAGGCCAGAGCTGGGATGGTTCAACCTGACAGAAATGGGTCCCCTAGAGCCCCTTGTAAGCTCATGGTGAGGATACCCCCAAGGAAATGGTCGGGGTGCTCCCCACTGTCTGGATTTTTGGGTCCTGTATGTACAGCTTTAGCTATGGAACCAGGGGAGGGAATAAGGTCAAAGTTGTGACTGATGATCCAATCGGATTTGGCTCCCCCACCCCCCCACAGGGCAAGTACTTCCTCCTCGACCCTTCTGGCCCTTTCCCATTGGCAGGCAGGTGGTCCAGCCTGGGTGGGATCTCATGGCCTTATACGCAGATGGTGTTCACCCCCCAGTTTTCTTTTCAGTCTTATTTTTTGGAGGCCTCATTTGCAATAGTCTCATGGAGCTTCCTGAAAGTTTCGTGCTTTCCAGGTTCCAGGAGGAAATGAGAGAAGTGCTCTCTTGTCAGGGAGGTTTTCCAGGTCTTTCCAAAGGAGGACTGTACCTTCGAGCTCAGGGCACTAACAACAGACCTAGCAGGGCCTGGATCCACAGTCCTAAAGCTAGAAACACAGTCATACTGAACCTACAGAAGTCAATGCCTAGGTCACCAACGCCATCACCTTCAATGCACAGGGAGGCTGTGGTCTCCTTCAGTGTCTCATTTCAGAGATGAAGGAGTTCAGTTTTCTGCTCTGAAAAACCCAGAGCAAGGTTTCCCTGGTTTCTGGCTCTTGAGGGCGGGGTTCTGGGGTACGAAACGCCCCTAGCCCTCCAAAGAGAACCAAGGGGGTCCAAACACAGATGCACAGACTTCTGAAAACGCCTAACTTGCCCAGAAACACTTCATTCTGGGCCATCCCTGAGAAGCAGCTTCAGCCTGGCAGCTGGTAAGAGTATCTGGCCGGGTGCCGTGGGCTTTGCTGTGGACAGCACCCAGGCTTCCGCACGCAGAGCTGACAGCAGGGGATGGGGGGCCGCCAGGGTCCCCGCGGCTCCAGGTCCAGAGCCTGTGGTTGGTTGCCCTCTTTCTGTAGCCTCTCAGATGGTCCCCCATGTCCTCCTGCAGCCCCAGCCAAGAAAGCCCCGGAGCCGGTCCCAGAAGAGAAGGCGGCTGAGGCCGGGCAGACTGAGGAGGAGCACTATTGCGACATGCTCTGCTGCAAGTTCAAGCGCCGCCCCTGGAAGTCCTACCAGTTTCCGCAGAGCATCGACCCTCTGACCAGTGAGTCCGGGTGGGACCGGGCCAGGCACTGCTGCCACCGTGTGCTGTGTGAGGGCAGGGGGCCCAGTGAGAGGAACCAGGGGTGGGTGGGGGGGGGAGAGCGAGGGAGCTCCAGAAGCAAACAAGCAAAGCCCCTGAATAGGAACCTACCATCACCCTCACCTGACAGAGAAGGAAACTGAGGCACGACTAGTTGGTGGCAGACTAGGAGCCCTACCCTGACTCTTGCCCGAGTCTGCCTTCTATTCTGCTCTCGAGGGCCCCTTGTTCAAATTACACACAGCAGAGAAGGGCAGAGATTCTTCTGACATCTGAAGTGAATTCCCCTCACTTTGCTTTTATTTAGCCCGTGGTCTCATCCTCCGCAATGACAACCCTTTCTATGGGCACAGCACTTTACAGTTTATGAAGCTCCCAGCCTTTCTTAGCTGACCTCTCCTTGTGCCTTCCCTGGGGAGCAGGGTAGGTGCCAGAGAGAGATGTTCCTGTGGTCACACAAGAAGTCCTGGGGAGATAGGATGCTAATCCTGGTGTCCATTGGGTCTCTAAAATGACCGCGTGACCCATGACTTCTATCCATGCACCCACCCACCTGTCTGTGCCCATCTTCCAGGCATTATTTACTGTTGTGTATTTACTAAAGCAGGAAATACATTTTTGGAAATATTTCAATGAGAATGAGAGCGAACGTGTTTTCTAGTTAGCTGCCTATTATCTAATACACCCCCATCCCCCAGCTGAGTATTCTGGTTTATTAGGGCCTGGCAGTGATTTATTTTTAAATCAGAGATAGTTTTACACACACACAGGCACACGCACACACGCAGGCACACAGGCAGACGCACACAGGCAGGCACACAGGCTCACGCACACACGTGCCTACCCCACTTACAGAAGTGCCACATCTAGGAATAGACTCGTGGAAAGAAGGACGCCCTCCCCTGATGCTCTTGTAAGGAGCCCTCCTCCGACCGACGTTCTAGAACAGTCCCGCCCCCTGGCTCCTCCACAGACCTGATGTACATCCTGTGGCTGTTCTTCGTGGTGCTGGCCTGGAACTGGAACTGCTGGCTGATTCCCGTGCGCTGGGCCTTCCCCTACCAGACGCCGGACAACGTCCACCTGTGGTTGCTGATGGACTATGTGTGCGACCTCGTCTACCTTCTGGACATCATTGTGTTCCAGATGCGCCTGCAGTTTGTCAGAGGGGGAGACATCATTGTGAGGCCCGGGCAGAGGGAGGGGGCCGTGTGGCCGGGGTGGGGGGTGGGGTGGCGCAGTGGGACCTTCGGGAGCCCTACCTGGGCTGCTGCTGTAATAGATGAGACGATTGAACAAGGTCTCGGGGACGTGCACCCATGATTGTTCAAATTACACACAGCAAACCCTGATCATGGGTGAAGGGGCTCCTGGACCACCAGGTGGACCTAAAGAGGGCAAGTGGGCCAGGGAACGACCTTCAGACTGACCTGGTTCAAATCCCAGCTCTACCACTGATAGCTCTGCAGGCCCCCTCTGAGCCTCTGTTTTGTCATCCTAAAATGGGGGAACTCATTGTTCCCACCTCGTAGCGTTGCAGGGAGGGGTATTGAGATGATGTCCGCAGAGCCCTTCAGCATGGTAAGCAACATTTCCTGGGGGTCCTGCAAAGAACACACTGCCTGAACCAGTGTGAGACCCTGTGCCCTGGTCAGGCCCCACTACCCGGGGAGGAAACTGGATCCTCATTTTGACTTGGCGAAGGCAGAGGGCCCAGTCCCTGTATCTCTGTGCAGGTCACTTTCCCAAATGTCACCCTGGCGGGGGGCTGCTCCTCTGTGTGCAGGCGGGCACTTGTTGTGTCTCTAGAACAATTTAGAGGAACCAGAATTCCCTGGGCAGCTTCTTCCCCAGCCTGATGAGAGCAGCAGCCGTTTCCTCGGAAAACCAGGTTACAAAGGGTCCGGTTAAGACCCATGTGCTAGGAGAACGACCCTAATATTGGCTCCCCAGCCAGGAAGTCGGAATCTAGCTGGGTGACCTTGGACCACTTCCCGCTCTCCGGGAGGTCTACCCTCCCCCCTTGCAGACCTGTGGACCCTAAGGCTTTCTCTCCCCAAAGCTCAGCTGCCCCTCTGAGGCTGTTCCTCTGATAGGAAGGTGGAAACTCTGCAGGGCTGTCCAGGCGGCTCCCTTGGGGTCAGGGATGAAGCTCGTGGGCCATCTCACAGTCAGCATTCCATTTCTTTCAGACCGACAAGAAGGAGATGCGCAATAACTACCTGAAATCTCGCCGCTTTAAGGTGTGTACCAAGGGTACAAGCTTCCGCCGCGCCTTGAAGGGAGGTGTGGCTGGGGACTCTGGGTGCTTCGGGGCCAATGTGATGTGAATCCCACCAGAATCCCACTGCTAGGCACAGGGAGGTTTGTGGGTACAAGGCTCTCTGCCCCTCTGGGTGCATTCCGACCTCACCCTTCCGCCCAAGGTAGAGACCCTATCATTCCCCCAGCCCCCAACCCCCTGGGGCTGCCTGTTTTATACACTGTGGTGTCCCATGGGGATTTCAGATGGACATGCTCTGCCTCCTACCCTTGGACTTGCTCTACCTGAAGTTTGGTGTGAATCCTCTTCTGCGCTTGCCCCGCTGTTTGAAGGTAGGCTTCCCGTCCAGGGCCTTCAGCTCTCCTGTGCTCTGCACTAGCATCATGATGTCCCCCCTGAGCAGCACTGGGGAGCGGAGCCGGGCGGGGTGTCAGGGTGGCCCCAGAGGGGATGGGAAATTCCCTGAAAGTGTTAGAGCTTCTTCACTGTGCTGTGTGTTAGGGATTTGTTCCAGAAGCTTAATAAGTACATAGTCTTCAACCCTACGAGTGTTGTTAGTACCAGCATTTTACCAGAGAGGTTAAGTAACTTGCCCTAGGTCACACAGGTCAGAAGGAATAGAGTCAGATTTGAACCTAGGCAGTATGCCTCCACTGTCTGTGCCTTCAGTCATTACAGAAACACAAGAGAGGGACTTCTGCTTTAGGATGGTCTGCATCTCAAAGATGGGGACACTGAGGATTGAAAACCTTGGGTGACTTGCCCAAGGTCACAGGAGCCGGGAAGTACCCAGGATAGATTTGGATGTGCAGCCTAATACCTGTCTCATTGTTCGTTGCTGCTTGGTGTCATGATAGTCGTCCCTCCTGCCACTGGGGCAGAGCCAGTGTCCCAGTGAAGGTGACACAGTGTAAAGGAGAGACCAGGGAGTGGTCCGTTTAGTGTGACCAGGGTTGACAGCCAGTTGGAGCTCTTGGAATCCCCCAAGTGGGATTTCCTGGCAGACCAACTGTGGATCCACAAGCCGAGTTTTACACCCCCCGCCCTGCCCATAGTGATGGGATTCATATCTGGTGTTTAGCATGACTCAGGACAAAACTTGGAGCCTCGGGGGAGAGAGAGCCAAGCCCACAGCCCCCTGCATCCCATGTAAACTCTGGAGGGACTTCAGGAGGACCCCTTGGAGGATGACCAGCTCATGGCTCAGGGAATTTCCCCCACGGTCATTCTCCAATGTCCACAACACGTGTGCCGTGTGGCCACTTTGAGTATGCTCTGGGATCGAATCCTGCCTCTGCCACTTAGCAGCTGTGTGCTTTGGGCAGCTGCCTCAATGTCACGAAGTGCCCGTGTCCTCTCTGTAAAGGGAGAATGGTACCACGTACCTCACGTGTAAATTAGCAAGAAAGTCATGAATAGAAAGCGCGGCCGTCAAAGGTGCTCAGTAAAGAAGAGAAGCTACTATCACGCTTTTATTATAAAAACAAGCCTTTGAAGGATCTAGGTAAGGGGCGGTAGGGGTGCTGTTTCTTTATCAGATGGTTTCCGTCATAAGCAAATGTTGCAAACAGGGTTCTTAACCTGAGAAGCGTCACCCCTGAAAATGTCATGATAGGCTTTGGGAGGTTTCTGGGAGCCCCCCACACATATGCAAACTGTGAGAACAGGACTAGGCGTAGTTTCTAGGGGAAGACAGGTCACGGTTTCCCATGGATTGATAAAGGGAGTTTCTGGCCCCCACCCCTCGGAGGGCTCCAGACCTCTGATGTTGGACGCTTACTGTCCAGCCTCCTCTGGGGGGCGCTGCAGAAGGAGCCGTCCGTGCTGGGGCCCAGGGGAGGCTAACACCGCATGCCACGGGTGGTGGGCCGTCCTGATGTTTTGCTCTTCCTCCCAGTACATGGCCTTCTTCGAGTTTAACAGCCGCCTGGAAGCCATCCTCAGCAAAGCCTATGTTTACAGGTGAGACACGCATGCACACACACGCGCACGTGAGCGCACACACAACACAGGCTGTTTGCGGCAACAACAGCACTAGGCATTCTCTACTCATATTTCTTCCCCTTTTAAGCTCCTCTGGCCCCATGGGCCCCAGTGCTACCGGAAGCCAGGCCTCTTCCTGGCCCTTCTCTGAAGGGATGTTTGTTTTTCTAGAGAGCCAGGAATGTCCCATTTCCCCCAATTGTGAGGAGGGCACACAGAAGTCCGTGTGCTCGGCTCACCGCTATTTCCACGGAGCCGGGCATCACTTTGATCTCAGCTCGGGGAACTGGGCCCCTCAATCCTGCTCGATCACAGTGGGCGTGATTGGAAGGACAGTGGGCCCTCTCTCAATGCTGGAGAGTGGGGCACAAGCCCAGCTGGGCCACGGGCAGGGGCAGAGCTTCTCCACGTCTCTCACGACGTGGTCCTTCTCTGCGCATGTCTGTCCCTTCCCGCCCCCTCCAAGGCTACAGCTCCTGCTGTCCTTTGCTGTCCTTCACACCCCCAGAACTATCGGCACATGGGGCTCAGGGCCATCCCAGGCCCTGGCCTTGACAACTTGCCATTCACACGCCACCATCCCTAGCTGGCAAAGTCTCCAGCAAGCATGTGGTTGGCGCAGTCCATCCAGACGGATGTCCATCCTGCCAGGTGTCTGCCACGCGTCCATCCTGCCAGGCAGTGGGGCCGGACCGTGACATTCCATCAGGGGCATGACCTAGGCACATGTCACGGGTGGGTAAAGGTGGGTTTGTTCCCTGCAGCCCCTACCCTTGGGGCGAGAGATCATGGCCACCTGCTCCGCCACTGTGTTCATGCGTGTCCTTCCTCTGCAGGGTGATCAGGACCACGGCTTACCTGCTCTATAGCCTGCACGTGAACTCTTGTCTGTACTACTGGGCATCAGCCTATCAGGGCATTGGCTCCACTCACTGGGTTTACGACGGCGTGGGAAATGGGTGAGCCACAGTCTTCTTCCTGGGGCTGTAATTCACTGAGGGTCCCGGAAAGAGGTCCCATTGCTGCCCTGTTGCTGAGACTGTCATAGTCCCAAGGAGCCACTGACATGAGGGAGTTGGAGGACCACATCTCTGTGTCCTCACTGAGCTAACATTTCCTGAGCACCAGCCATGTGCCAGGCAGAGGGGGGCACAAACAGGAACAAGACTTGCTAGAAAGGTCCTTTCAGCCTCCTAGAGCCTAGGAGAGTTGGCAAATTTGCCTCCCACGTGCATCTACTCCTTTATCCCATGAACAAGGCCAACTGGGAAGGAGGCCAGAGCACACCTCTCAACATAGCTCCCCAGGCATCGCTAGCCATGCGGGAGCTGGCAAACAAGGTGAACCCTACTTGCCAGTTCAGAGAGCTGCCGCATGTGTGGGACATGCTCATGTAGTGACGATGACAATGGTACTACTATAATCATAGCAGCGAGTACTTAGAGCAGAGAACGCTTATTCTGCACCAGCCCTGCTTTAAGTACTGAACACAGTAACTCACTTAGTCCTTCCAGTCATCACTCGAGATGGGCACTGTCATCATTCCCATCTTACAGAGGGGGTAGCAGATGGGAAGTCACTTTCTAAGGTCGCATACTTAGCTCATAATTTCCAGAGCTGGGATTTGAACCTGGGGCAGCATGGTTGCATTCTCAGCCAGTGTACCATCTGCCTGGTGCTGGAGAGGCATGGGCATGGGACCATCAATTCCAAAAAGTCATATTTGATTTTGGCCTTGGTAGGTAGAAAGAAGGGGCAGAGAAGCTCTGGGGAAGGGAGCAGCTGGAAGAGAGGTGCAGAGTTGCAAAATGGTGTCATTGTCAAGGCTCTGGGAGCTATCTTGTGTGCTGGCAGGGACTAACCAATCCGGTGGCCGCTGGCCACAGGGCGCCACCAAGTCCTCAAAAGTCACCATGACTGAGATGGGAAATACACACAGGTTCAGAAGACATGAAGAAACATGTCAACTGCCTTGTTGCTCACGCCTAAAATATTGGTTACATGGTGAAATCATATTAACGTTGATATTTTGGGTCGCTAAAAAACATTATCGAAATTAATTTCACCTGTTTCTTTTGCTTTTGCAAAAATGTGACAACTGGAAGATTTTAAGTTACATAGGTGGGTCACATCATATTTTTTTAAAAGATTTTGTTTATTTATTTGTCAGAGAGAGAGAGAAAGAGAGAGTGAGCACAGGCAGACAGAGTGGCAGGCAGAGGCAGAGGCAGAGGGAGAAGCAGGTTCCCTGCTGAGCAAGGAGCCTGATGTGGGACTCGATCCCAGTATGCTGGGATCATGACCTGAGCTGAAGGCAGCTGCTTAACCAACTGAGCCACCCAGGCATCCCAGTCACATTGTATTTTTACAGGATAGCATGGTTCTAGGTGATGGGGTGCCAGTGTGGGTTTTTTTTATTTTGCTGTTCTTTGTTTCATATCTGGTTCTAGGTGATGGGGAGCCAGTGTGGGGTTCTTTTGTGCGGTTCTTTGTTTCATATCTATTTATCCTGATTATTGAAGAAGGATCAGAAACATTCCTCACTATATTTCTTTCTTCTAAGATGCAGTTCCTTCTATGACACATTATTGAGTCAATGTAGCTTTTTGGAAAAAAAGAGAAATATTACAGTAAATGGACACGTAGTTTGTAAGATCCATCCCAACTTTAGAAATGTGAAAATGTGGAAAAATATGTCACCCACAGAGATATAGAATAACAGAATATTGTGCATATTTGCCCATCATTAATTTTTTTAAAACCACAATACTGATATCCTCCCCATGGAGAGAGGCCAGTGTTTATTTAATCATGCCCTCATCCCTGGGCACTGGAGGGTCTCCAGTTCCTTAGTCTGACACGTGATGCTGCAGTGAACATCTTTGTATCTGAATCTTTGTCCTCTGGCCTGATTGTTTCCTCAGGATAAATTCCCAAAGGGGGATTGCTGGGCCAAGAATAAGAACATTTTTAAGATTAAAAAAAATTATTATTCTTATAATTAATACACTATTTTTTTAGAGCAGTTCCAGATTTCCAGAAGAGTTGGTAGGAAAGTACAGGGAGTTCCCGCAGGCTGCCATATTTTTCAGTGTCAAATGGATATGGAACGATAGCCCGGCTCCCCTCTCACCTCTTGCCTCTATACCTTGGGAGCAGGAAGATGACAGGACCCAGGGGGATCTCAGAAAGGTGACTCTGCTGGTGATGGTTGAGGAGAGATGGACTCGAGGGACAGGGGTGAAGGCGAAGAACCAGTTAGAGACAAAGGTTTTGTGTGGTCTGGGGGAGGGAGGACAGTGCGGGAAGGGAGGCCTAAGTACCTGGGTCCAGGTCAGGGGCGTGAGCCTGGAGAGGCAGGGCACAGGCTTAAGGGACAGGAGTCCAGGGAAGAACAGAAGATGTTCATTAAAACTCGCTCTGTGACCTTGGCTGAGGCTCTTCCCCTTTCTGGGACTCAATTTCCCTTCTCCAGCCTGAGCATAGTAGTACATTCAGATTTCTTGTGAGGAATGATAAACTCATGTGTAACGTGTCCGGGTCATGCCTGGACAAGAGTTAGTGATGAGTTATGATCATTCTTTAACCCATTTTTTTAAAAGATTTTATTTATTTATTTGACAGACAGAGATCACAAGTAGGCAGAGAGGCAGGCAGAGGGACGGTGGGGAGGGGGGAAGCAGGCTCCCCGCTGAGCAGAGAGTCCGATGTGGGGCTTGATCCCAGGACCCTGGGATCATGACCCGAGCCGAAGGTAGAGGCTTAACCCACTGAGCCACCCAGGCGCCCCAGCTATGATCATTCTTATGGGGAGACCAGCATACCAGGAGAGGGCCTGCTAAGCCAGGATCCAGAGTTGTACGGGGGTCCCACCACCACCCACCACCAAAATTGGAGCTAAATTTTGAGGACATGCTGGCTTCCCTAAGGAAAAGGTGGCTAGCTTTCCTTAGATTCTCAAAGGGGTTTGTGCCCCAGGAGGCTGAGAACCCAAGTCCGAGGACTAGGCCTGGCACCCCCATCATGGGCAGGCCTGGGGTGGAAGGGGAAGCAGGGGAGGGAGGACAGGGGAGAGCTGTCAGGGACTTCCTTCTGCCAGCCTTGGAAGGGGCATGCTGTCTTGGGCAGTCCTACTCTTCTCCAGATGAAATCCTACAGGGAAGCCCTAGTATCTGCAAAAAAGCACAAAGAGTGAAGGATCCCTCCTGAAGTCCAATATCAAGGGTAATAATCATTTTCAAAATAGTGACCATTTGTTGAGAGTCCGCTCTGGCCCAGGGGCTTGAGGACCGAAGTTCTTACATATCTGGGTCCTATTCTGCTTCTGCCTGGCTTGGAGCAGGCAGTGGTCCCCACAGACCCAGTAGCATTGAAGACAAGAAGACTTCAGGGAGGCCCCTAAGACCTGCCATGCCAACAGAAGATTCTTTAATCAGAAAGAGTTTGAGGGGTGGTCCAGGAGCACCCGCTAAGCTCAGTCCCTGTTAACGGCTGCTTTGCACGCCCTCTGGTGGCCAGGGGACAGTATGACGGGGGCTTCATGGGGGAGCCGCGTGTTGTCTGGAAATTTCTATGCACCAGGTGGTGAATGAGGTGCAGGGTGGCGCAGCGCCCAGCCCAGGCCTCCCAGCTAGTGGTCAGAGACAGAGACCCCCTCCAACATAACTCGCCAACAAGCTCTGGGCTTCCCCCTCCTAGTATTCTTTGCACGATTTCTTGCCTGTCTGCACTAGATGGTAAGCTTCTTGAGGACACTGGTGAGTCTGTTGTTCCCTAACCACAGGCATGTGGCAGGTACCAGTGACAGAGAAGGCTGAGAGCCCGTCATGTCCCAGGCATCTTTTGCTACCTCATTTTGTCCTCACGATCACTCTGTGGTGCCATGTCCACCGTAGGAGAAAGAAGTCGAAGCTTGCTGAGATTAGTAATTTGTCCTCATTAGGCGGCTAGGAAGTGGCAGAGCTGGGTTTGAGCCCAGGCAGTCCCCTCCAGAGCCCAAGTTCTAACCATGACTCTGCAGAACTAGCTGGTGAACGCAGTCCCGGGGAGGACCCCGCTTGGGGTCATCCCCAGACTGGGTGATTTGCCAGTGGATGATGGTCTTGGTTTTGGAGCTGAGCAGGGACCTCAAAAATGTGGGTATATCAGGACACTGGGGTCAGGGCAGGCTCTGGACACCACCTGTGTGCCCAAGTAGGAAGATAGCAAGGCACAGGAAAGCCAGCTGGGATTGTCTTGTCCTTGAGCCCTGCTGACCTCACTCACTGCTGAGCCCTGGGACGGCCAAGCCTGAAGGTGTGAACAGATGTATGAGGGACTCTTACTCCTCTGTGATAATGAGATAAGCTTAGGGCATCTCCCATGCCCATACCTCCCTTCCCTGGTTTGTGCACCCATGGAGAGGCGTTACCAACTGTGAATGACGGCTCAGAGAGGCAGATGACAGCCTGAATTCTAATCCCAGCTCTGGACCTGGCCCACTGGTGACCATGAGTGTTTCCTTTGCCTTCTGGGGCCTCATTTTCCCCATCTGGAAAAGAGATGGGCAGGGGAGAGGGTCAGAAAACGTGGTCCTTGAGATATCTTCCAAGTTAGACATTGCTTTCGGTTTTTGGGAACCAACATGCCAGGATGGCAAAGGGAAGGTAGTGGAAATTGAAATAATATCAAGGAGTCCAGGCATCAGAAGTCAGAAGACCCTGGTCTACCTTCCTGCCAAGTCTATCTAGCAGTCTCCTGGAGCCTCAGTTTCCCCATATGTAAACAGAGGAGACAACATGCCTCTGTATCTGTGCACGTGCTCTGCACACCGTGTGCCCTGTGGCTGTTAGGCTCTTTTCCTTGCACGTAGAAATAAAGGGTTTTCTTTTCTCCATACTGCACACCCGTCAGAGCCAAGCCACCCAGACTCAGCAAAAGGGGGCCTTTGCTGACCGAGGTCCCCTTCCTCTTCTCTCTCTAGTTACATTCGCTGTTACTACTGGGCTGTGAAGACCCTCATCACCATTGGTGGGCTGCCTGACCCCAAAACGCTCTTTGAAATCGTCTTCCAGGGCCTGAACTATTTCACAGGTGTCTTCGCTTTCTCTGTGATGATCGGACAGGTAGCTAGCTTGCCACCCGCCTGCCCGCAAGGCCCTTCTCCCTCCCACTGCTGTCAGAAATGTCACCAGCTGTGGTCATTTCTTTCGGACTAAGTCCAGGAGAGACCGCAGGACTGGACTCAGGAGCCTAGAGCTCTGGGACCTGCTGGGTGAAGGGGACGGGGTAGAGGTCTAGGTCCCATTCTTCTCTACGCTGGCTTTCACTGGAAAGGTCGGTCCCTTTGGGATATCTTTGGAGAGCTAGGCTGAAAGGCTTTCTGCAAAGGCTGGGGATTTGGGTTGCTCCCCTGGAGAGAAACCCCTGGGGGTGTCTAATGTGCAGGGGTGCATCTCCTATTCTAATCATTGCCTGAGGCCACAGTCCCATGGCTTCAGAATCCAGTCCTGTCACAAGGAGTAGTACACCAGGTTCACATTTCCTCCAGTGAGGTCGAAGTGGCCTCTGGCACCGAGGGGCCAGGTCAGACCACAACTAGCCTGGCCCAGCGAGGCATTTCCTCATAGCAGGTGCTGTTCTGGGCAGCCTCACCCCGTCCTGCCCATGTCCACACTGGAAGCAGAACTTCTCCCGTCGGCAGCCTCCTCTGTGTGCGGACATGGGTCCCCTCTCTCCTGGGCCCCTTCCTCATGCACCCCCAGTCTGAGTAGATACACATGCTCACAACGCATGGGCCCAAAGCCCCACTCTGCCCCTTGACGCTTCCTCCTTGCGCCTAGATGAGAGACGTGGTGGGGGCCGCCACCGCCGGGCAGACCTACTACCGCAGCTGCATGGACAGCACTGTGAAGTACATGAACTTCTACAAGATCCCCAGGTCCGTGCAGAACCGGGTCAAGACCTGGTACGAGTACACCTGGCAGTCCCAAGGCATGCTGGGTAAGACAGGTGCCCCAGCTACCACCAGCTATCCCCTGCCCCCTCCTCCCTGACCCCCCTCCCTCCTCCTACCAGCTATCCCCCGGTCCTGCCTCTAACCCGTGTCCCTGAGGTCCTGAGCACTGGTGCCTCTTGGCTGTGGCCCCAACATATTCAAGTGAGGGGGGCCCAGGGAAGCCCATGAGGTGCCCCAAGCTGGGCCATCAGGAGACCCCTGAAGACTTGAGGGCCTTGTCTTCTGGATGTCCTGCCTGCCCTCCCTTCTCTTCCCCTGCCTTGAAATGCATCCCTCTCAGAGGTGGAAGTACAGCTGAGATCAGGACAGAAGGAAGATCCCCTCTCTTCTCTTTCCATAGACATACATACGCACACATGTATATTTAAAGATTTTTACTTATTTGAGAGTGAGAGAGAGATCGATCATGAGCAGGGAGGAAGGGTAGAGGAGAAGCAGACACCCCACTTAGCAGGGAGCCCAATCCCAGTCGATCCCAGGACCCTGGGATCATGACCTGAGCTGAAGACAGACACTTAACCGACTGAGCCACCCATGTGCCCCTACACATACACTTTTTGTAAACTTGATGTTAACGCTTTGCTTCTGAAATTCTTCGGCTGCAACAATGCATATAACTCCCCACTGTTTCTCCTTTTTTGGCAATGATGGGGTGTACTCAGTAATTCCTGGGAATTGGGAGAATCTGACCTGTGCACTGTTTTCAGGTGTAGTACCGTTTTCCTGAATTGGAAATGGAACGCTTAATGAAATGTGAATATGCTACTTCTGTGTTAATTAAGTCACAATCCCCCCCCCCAGTCTCTCTCTCTCTCTCTCTTTTTATCTTTGGGAGCTAGTAATTTTGTTTTCAGAGCTTAGACATCATGGAGGCTACTAATGAGCTGGTGGGCCATTGGCACTGTGTCTTAGGGTCCCTCAACGCACTCAGCTTATTCAAGGGCCCCCTGCTTCCATGGGCTTCCCTCTGGCCTCAAAGAAGCCACACTTGAGCTCCAAGGTCTCCCGAGCCGAGGGTGGACAGCGAGCGGTCGAGGCAGTGTTAGTGTCCCTGGCTGGTGCGCTCACTCTGTACAAGGCATGGTTCCCTCCGTCGCGTCATTCCATTCCAGGGACAGCCCTGTGACATCTAAATCATTGCCCCCTTCTCCAGGGGCACATATGAAGGAACAGAGCAGGTTTCCAGCTGCCCAGGTTGTGCAGATCTGCACTTGAACCCATGAATGATTGTGGTACAGTGGGAGGGGCATCAAGATTAGGTCAAGTTAGTTCATTTCCCATCCCTAGTACAGGCATTCATTCAGTGCCAGGCTCTCTGCTGGGCACTCAGCCCTCATCATGCGCAAAGCAGACTGGGACAGGCCCTGGAGCACCACGGCCCCAGGTGGGATACGGACTCCATTCTCCACCCCTCCGCCCCTGCCTGGCGGTTTCTGTTATAGTTTCTGTAAACTGGGCATGGTGGTAGTGGGCACCTGTCGGGTTGTTGGGAGGATTTAATACAACCATCTTTGTAAAGCACTCTGTAAAAAGAGTGTTCGATGTACTCTAGCTCTTGATAACGTCCTCAGAGCGTGAGAAGCGCGGACTAGCAGGAGCAAATCATTGCAATAAGGGGTGCGGTCAGCGCGCCCACACAGAGACTGCTGAACCTAATAGTCGGTGTGGGGATCTTGAGGGAAGGCTTCCTGGAGCAGGTGACATTTAGTAAGGGGTTCTAAAGAAGCAGTAGAAGTTAACTAAGGAAGTACACGGTAGTGTTCCCCCACAGAGGGAAAAAAGCCCAGAGAGGAACTCTTCCAATACAGTGAGGCTCTGGGTGGCAGAGGAATGGTGTGGCCCTGTGTGTGCATGTGTGGGGGCGGGGGGTGGCGGGATGTGCCTCTGATAGTTGCCAGCGTCTCCTTTGCAGACGAGTCAGAACTGATGGTGCAGCTTCCAGACAAGATGCGTTTGGACCTTGCCATCGACGTGAACTATAACATCGTCAGCAAAGTGGCTCTCTTCCAGGTAGTGCCCACCCAGCACCCCTGTCCCCGGGGTTCTGGGGAGCCCCAAGACCCCACCCTCCTCTAAATGGGCATTCTTTCCCCCTCCTCTTGGGGACAGGGCTGTGACCGACAGCTGATCTTTGACATGCTGAAGAGGCTCCGTTCTGTCGTCTACCTGCCCAACGACTACGTGTGCAAGAAGGTGGGTGGCCCCAGACAGCTGCAAGGCCAGCTGAGGTTCCCAGCGCACCCCCGGCCCTGAGCTGGGCTGAAGGGGTGCTCTGAAGGCCACGAGGGTCGGCAAGCCCAGGGAGAGCTGCGCCCAGGCCTCCCGGCTTGTTTGGCCCGAGGAGCCTTTGTCTGGCCCTAGGCGGCCACTGAGCTCCAGTGCGCCTCAGACCTTGTTCCCTTAACACAGGACCAGGGGAGCCAGGGCGAGGAACCCCACTTTCCAGAAAAGGAAAGTGAGGAGCCTCGCGAGAGGTAGGGCCCTGACTCTGCTGATGGAACAGCTTCCAGGGTCTTGGTCTTCCTATCAGGAAAACGGAGTGGAGGGGGGCCTGGGATAGGTCACAGGCTGTAAACCGAGGGCCTTCTCATAGGAGCAGCCCATACAGTGTTTTGTGGTTTTTTAGGTGTTCTTTTTTCTCCTAATCTTAAAAAAAAAAAAAAAAATGTTGACTTTGTCCCCAATCTTTACAAATATGAAGGTTTCACATAAAAATCCAGATTTCTAGCTAAAAACAGAGCCCCATTTTCCCAAATAGCAAGAGTCAACTGGGTGGAGAAGGGGTTGCCCCCAAAGAGGATGGCACCCTCCCTCCCAATGCCACAGACCCCACCTTTCCCCACTGCCCCATACCAGGCTCTCTTCACTCCTTCAACCGCCCATCCGATCCTGGAAAATACTTGCACTTGAACCTAGGGATACCCAGTGTCAAGGCCCTTTCTGCTCCCATTCCCCACTCAAGGTGAGACCAGTGCCCTCTGGGGAGTGAGTGGTAAGGGCACGAACTTGGAATTCAGTCCCCTTGTTACAGGGCTGTAAAGGCTGGGTGTGTGTACAGAGGTGAAAATAATGCCCACGCAACCCCTATGCGACTCAGAAAACTCCAGCCCAAGAAGGCCCCAATCTCCAAGTTGTATGCCGTATAGCAGTGAAGTTTCTGGAAGCGGAGAGCCTGGAGAAATGGGGAAACAGAGCTACAGACGGTTGAAAACTTAAAGCTGCAGCCCTAGAGGCCAAGAGGGGATTGAGAGCAATAGAGTCATTTGTCTGACACAGGCTCTTTCCTAGCGGTGCCGCCTTGGGGCCGTGGCTTACCCTCCCTGAGTCTTTTCTCATGGGTGAAGTAGGGATGTTGCCGGGGGCTTTGTGAAGGTTGAATCAGCTGTGCCTACAGAGCCAGGTGCCACTGCTGCTGTAGCTATCTTTGGGGGTAACGTAGAACTTGCTGGCAAATGAGCAAGGCTGAACGAGGTGGAGGGGGTTGGCAGAGGGCCCTTGAAGTGAACACTTGATAAGCAAGTGTGAATGGTGCCCCCTGCTGTCCAGTTGTGCTATGTGACGATCTCGCGGAGTCACCCCTGGGATACCACGCACCGCCCCGACCCCCACCACCCGCCCCAGGGCTGTGGGGAGCTCTCTAGACCCTTCAGCCCCGTGTCAAATTGGACACAGAAACAGGGACACGAAGCTTTCTTCCTGTTAAGGATCCCATGCCTGTGTGAGAAGCCCAGGAAACGTCTGTTGAATGAATCCAAGGTGTCATCAATTGACCTATCCTTGCTGTCTCTCCTCTTAAACATGTCAGGTGTGATGGACAGGGAGAGGGGCGTTGTGAGGGCATGAGGATTAGAAGGTGCATGGCAGACTGGGTATTTCTTTTTTTCTTTTTTTAATTTTAAGAGATTTTATTTGAGATAGAAAGAGCGAGAGAGCATGAGTAGGGGGCAGAGGGAAAGGGAGAAGCACACTCCCTGCTGAGCGGGGAGTGTGATGTGTAGCCCCATCCCAGGACCCTGGGATCGAGACCTGAGCTGAAGGCAGACGCTTAACCGACTGAGCCACCCAGGCGCCCAGCCTGCGTATTTCTGATTGCAGTCCAAAGCAAGGCATTCAAGCAGGCATGCGTCCATTCATTTGCTCTAACTTGGGATTAAGACCATTGCCTTAGTCCGCTACAGCTGCTCTGACGAAGGACTAGAGACTGGGCAGCTTAAGCAACAGAAATGCATTGTGTCTCAGTTCTGGAGGCTGGAAGTCTAATACCAAGGTGTCAGTGGGATTGGCTCCTTCTTGGGGCTGTGAGGGAGGGATCCTCTCTCCTTGGCATATAGATGGCTGTCCTCTCCCTGTGTAACTTTACATCGTCATCTCGGTATGCCTGTCTTTGTGTCCAAATATCCCCTTAAGAGGGAGACCAGTCACACTGGATTAGGGGCCCACTCACCTCCAGTATGACCTCATCTCAACTTAACGAAGGAAATCTGCAATGACCCTATCTCCAAAGAAGGTTGCATCCTGAGCGTCTGGGGGTGAGGACTTCAGCATATGGATTTGGGAGGGACACCATTCAACCCACAGCACCCATGTGGTCTGAAACCAGACTGGGCCCCAATCCCCACTTTCCCAGGCCCTAGCTTTGCACCCTTGGGCAAAGGGTTCCTACCCCAGAGCTGTGGAGGACTAAGCAGGCCCAGCACTTAGAACAATGCCTCGCTCAGAAAAATGTCGCACGAGAGCTGGACTTCGTGACCGATATCGTTATCACTGCTGTTTCACCTAGCAAATGCTTACCGAGCTCCTAAGGTGACACGTCCTAGGTACAGGTATCAACGTACTGTATGAACCACTGCTAATTTTTTCCATGTCTCCGGCCCTCCATTGGCGTGTATAATTGGGAATTTGTAGAATACCATTACACTGGCACCTTCTCGCTAACCTAGCACTTTCCTCTCCATCACACCACTAACTCCCCCACAGAATCTCATCAGGCAGGCCAGAGGTGGCCATTCTTCCCAATCCACAGATGGGGAGACTGAGGCCCCAGAGAGGAAGCGAGTGGCCTTGCTCCACACACCATGTCACTGGTGGGCTGGACGCCACCCCAGGTTCCTCTGCTCTGTGCCAGCAGCCTCCGGGCCCAGCCCTGCCAGTCTTCTGGTCACTTCTGATGATGGCAGAGGGGCTCAGCACTTCTCTATTTCAGGGGGAGATTGGTCGAGAGATGTACATCATCCAGGCGGGACAGGTGCAGGTCCTGGGTGGCCCCGATGGGAAGGCCGTGCTGGTGACACTGAAGGCTGGATCCGTGTTTGGAGAAATAAGGTCAGGGGGTAGCTGGGATAAGATGGGGAGACCTGGGCAAGCTGTGGTGGTGGTAGCCAAGGGGGGGACCTCATCCTCAGGGACCCTTTGGCGGGTCTGAGGAAGCCATGCGTGGATGCTGACATATGGGGGTAGGTCCCAGCTCTTGGGTGTGTGGGGCCGCCCTCTGCTCTGGGCAACGGGAGGAAAGGGACATTTTAGTGGGATCCCAACCCCAGCCTGCCAGGTCTCACCTCCTCCCTTCTCTGCCCCAGCTTGCTGGCTGTTGGGGGCGGGAATCGGCGCACGGCCAATGTGGTCGCCCACGGGTTTACCAACCTCTTCATTCTGGACAAGAAGGACCTGAATGAAATTTTGGTGCATTATCCTGAGTCTCAGAAGTTACTCCGGAAGAAAGCCAGGTACATTTTTTTATTAAAAAAAAAAAAAATCCACATATCTGTCAGTGCACATTTCTTGAGGACTAAACCTTTATCTTACCTACCATAGTACCTTATCCCAATCGGGAAATTCAGAATTGAAATGATGCTACTACCTCATCCCCAATCCATCTTCAGATTTGGCCAATTGTCCCAATCATGTCTTTTATGGCCTTTTCTGTCTTCTTTTCTGTTCCTGGATCCAGTGTGGGTTTCCCCAGTTTCATCACATAGGCTCGTATCTTCAGTCTCCTTGGATCTGGGATGGTCCCTCAGTCTTTTTCCGTCTTTGGTGACTTGGACTTCTTTGAAGAGGACAGGCCTATTATTTTGCAGGATGTCCCTTCACCTAGGGTTAGCTGATGTTCTGATGTTTTCTCATGATTATCTTCAGGTTCTGCATGGGGGAAGGAATATCTGAGAAGTGATGTTTTGGGGCACCTGGCTGGCTCCCTTGGTAGCGCGTGCGACTCCTGATCTCAAGGTTGTGAGTTCAAGCCCCACGTTGGGCATGGAGCCTACTTTAAAAAAAAAAAAAAAAAAGTGATGTTGCATTCTTCTTAGTGCAGCATATCGAGAGGCACCAGCTGCTGGTTTCTCCCAGTATTGATGATTTTCCCTTTGATCACTTGGTAAGCTTTCTGCACTCTAGAGTTAACATTTTTCTCTTTGTAATTAATAAATATTTAGTGGGGAGTCCGTCTGAAGCTATCTAGACCTCCTGTTTCCCATCAAGTAAGCCTTCACTCGATACATTCAGCATCCACTGAGAGCTCCTTGCTAAATCAGCGATTGCCATCATGGTTGCAGAATGGTGATTTTTCTGATTCCGTCATGCCTTCCACGTCTATTAGGAGCCTTTATTAGAAGCTTCCTCTTCTTTCCCATTTCTTCGCTTATTCATTTAACTATATCAATGTGGATTTGTCTTGTTCCATAAATATCCTGTTACGATCACCCTTTGGTGCTCACATTGTTCCAGATTTGGCCAGGGGGCCCTCTTCAGCCCGGCCCTTGTGACTCCTTGTTATGTCTCCGAAATATTTCAGCTCTTCCTTGCTTACAAGCACAGTGAGATGCTCCAGGCTCATCTTGTGACTTTCTCTGCCACATCCCTGGAAATGGCCATTTCTCCAAGGAGCCTTGATTCCTTGCACGTGGGAATGGTTTTTAGAAACCACCATCTGTGCACTGTGTGTGCTCATGGCTTCTAGGCTCCCAAGTGGGCAGAGCTGGGAAACACGCCCACATGCCCACCAGTATATATACAATTGCAAATCTACATATACACACACATCTAAGTCTGTGTATATATCAACTTGCATTTGTCCATCTGTATCTCTATCTGTACCCATCTAACAATTTCGGTCCAACACCAGAGACTTTCTTAATCTTCTCCTTTTCCATATTTTGTAAATTCCTTCCCTATCACTGAGAAATTTGACTCTCTTTACCCTCATCACGTTCACTCATTTATTCAGTCCTATAATACAAAGAAATTTCAGAATTGCTATCCCAAAGCCCTGGGGTGGTGGGGAAGCCTTCCCAGCAGAATTTAATATTTGGTGCTGTTCTTCTTGTCATTAGCCTAAGTACCTATGAGGTAAGTGTTATGTTCAGAGTTATTTGGATTCGTTTTCTTTTGCCTCCCTTAAGGACGGTTGTTCATTTGAAATCTACCCAGGCTCATGTGTTTCGGTTTGCGCTCTCTTCTTTTATGATTCCTCCTGTCCCGATCCTTGTTGATTTATTGTTGTTTTGAATATGTCAAGCATTAGCAGGGTACCACAAGTCACAATGCAACAAAATGGTGTGCCTGGAGAAGTCCCAGCTTCCCCGACTTGTTGTGCCCAGCCCTATAGGAGCCCAGTCTCATTAGTTTCTGCTGCTTCCTTAGTGTGTTTCCTTTTGCAAAAATAGGCAGATGGGTGAATATTTTATTTTCCCCATCGTACTCAAAACGTAGCATACTATAGATTTTCTTTTAAACTTTGCTTTTTTTTTTACACCAACCGATCCTGGAAAACGTTCTCTCTCAGTCCATAGACCCATCAGTTTCCTCATTCCTCTGACAGTTGCAGAGCATTCCTATGAATGGGGAGTTAGAGTTCCAATATTTTGCAATTATAAACAGCATCACAGTGAATAACGTTGTGCCTCTGTATTTTGTACTGTTGAGGAGTGGGTAACTTTTTATTTTTTATTTATTTTTAAAAAATATTTTTAAATTTATTTGACAGACAGAGATCACAAGTAGGCATAGAGGCAGGCAGAGAGAGAGAGGAGGAAGCAGGCTCCCCGTGGAGCAGAGAGCCCGATGTGGGGCTTGATCCCAGGACCCTGAGATCATGACCTGAGCCAAAGGCAGAGGCTTAACCCACTGAGCCACCCAGGTGCCCCTAGAGTGAATAACTTTTTAGAGAAGCAGGTTTTTGCTTTCAGATCCTTAAGATCAGGTTTTAAGCTGAGTGACAGAGGCAGCATGGATGTGCTAGAAAAATCTACAACAGGCTTGGGAAGGTGATGGGGCTCATGTCCTATCCATTTGAGGTACTGGCTGTGTGGCCTTGAAAAAGTTGCTTAACTTCTCTGGTCTCAGTTTTCTGCAATTCTGTAAAATAGGGGTATGTTAACCCCTTACTTTGTTTTTGGGAAGATTAAATAAAATAGCGTGTGTGCGAATGTCTCCAGCAGGATACCTGACATGTGGGAGAGCTCAGTGAATGTTCATAATAATAATTGTTCCTCTTTATCCATTAAATGCTCTCCATAATTTTCCCATTGGATGAAGCCTTTTATTTATTTTTTTTAAGATTTTTTATTTATTTATTTGACAGACAGAGATCACAAGTAGGTAGAGAGAGAGAGAGAGAGAGAGAGAGAGAGAGGAGGAAGCAGCCTCCCTGCCGAGCAGAGAGCCCAACTAGGGGCTGGATCCCAGGACCCTGGGATCATGACCTGAGCTGAAGGCAGAGGCTTTAACCCACTGAGCCACCCAGGTACCCCTGGATGAAGCCTTTTAAATCTACATAGCTAGTTTTTCCTCCATTGCCTTTTACCCCATATTCCTATTTTCTATCTCATTCTACGAAATGACATAAAAAATAAACTACACAGAGGGAGGTCATGATAAAGGGCACAAACTTACCAACATCCACTCATAGCTCATAATCATTTACTGAGCACATAGTTCTGGGCCCCGGGGACACAGCAGGGACAAAATAAAGTTGCCTCTCTACTAGGGGAGGCTGACCATAGTGAAATGAATGATTCTGTGATGTGTCAGCTATGAGGAAACAGAAAACCACACAGAGGAGACATAGGTGAGGAAGGGAGTTCCTTGAGATAGGTTGCTCAGGAAAAGCCATTCTGAGGAAGTGGAATTTCAGGGGAGACCTGCACAGAATGAAAGAGTGAGCAGGACTGCTTGCAGGGAAGAGCATTCCAGCCAGAGGGAACAGCAGCTGGAAAGGCCCTGCAGAGGAGCAGCCTGGGTGTGTGTGGGCAGACCAGCCAGAAAATAAGCATAGCTTGACGCGGGGTGGGAGCAGTCAAGGGGATAAGAGTGAGTAGGTCTTGGAGGTGAAGCCCTGAGTGGCTTTGGGTCTTGGTCTGAGGGAGATGGCAGCTTTGTATGGTTTTACACAGACTGGTGACTTGATGTGACTTGGGTTTTCACAGGACCCCTTTGGCAAGCCCAGGTGAGAGGATGCCGTGTCGAGGTTAGAGCATAATACACACAGGATGCTGGGGGGTCCCCTGAGGAAGGAAGCTGCCCCGTAACTCAACTTACCAGTTTGCTCTTAAGGAAGCTATGGGGCCCTTCCAAAGGCTGGTCTGTCCGACCTTCTCCCACCAAATCTGCCCACTTCCCCTGACTCTCCCGAGGAGCAGGGAAGCACAGTCAGTCCTCATTACTCACGTATTTGCGATTCTGTATCTGCAATTCACCAACTCACTGAAATGTGTTCAGAACCCCCAAATCAGCACTCATGGGCAGCCCCAGTCATTCGCGGATGTGCGTAGAGAGAGCAGTGAGAGATTTGAGTTGTCCTAAGCGCATGTTCTCAGCAGAAGGTGACCAAGGAGACGCTCTGCTTTATTGTTTCAACCCAGAAGCGTCTGAACACTGGTCAACAAGAGTCTTTCCGTGGGCCGTACAGCGCCGCAGTGTCCATAGTTCTGTGATTGTCGTTGGCGATGTCACCCCGAAGTGTGGTGCTGAGGTGTGTTCCCCAGGGCAGGGAGGCTGGGATGTCCTGGACGGAGAAGGCACGCGGGTTGGATAAGCTCTGCTCAGGCATGGCTCACAGAGCTGTGGGGGATGAGTTCAATGTTAATGAAACTGCAGGTTCGATTGGATGTCGTTAAACAGGAACACAAACAAGTATTGATCAGTTGCTGAAGTGTTGTCGTGAGAGGCTCACCAGAAACCTAACCCTGTAATTCCACTGGAAGCAATGGTTTTGGTGTTCAGTAATGCAGCATTTGTAGGGACTCCACCGAACGACCTCAAATATTGAGAATTCTACCGTCTCTGTCTGAGAGCGCTCACTGTCCCCACGGCCCCTGCCCGCCCTTCCTCCCCCACGCAAGAGGAGCGAGGCCATGAAAGCCAGGTTTGTAGCTGCCACCCATTCCTTTGGCTAGGGTAGGTAAGGGCTCAGCCAGTCAGCTAGGATCCTGCAGAGGCTGCTGACCCGTGTGCGGAGAGCATGCCGCCCTGCGCTGGAGAAGGTGGGGAGAGAGGAGGAGTCATCCGGTCCTGCCGCACAGAGACCCTGGGACCAGCCCTGTGGCCTGATTCATCAGAGAGCCGGGCTCCCTGGACAGGCAGGCTTCAGGACAGAGGCAAGGGGTGGTGAGGAAGCTCTGCCCATCAAAGGAAAAACACGGTCTGAGAACCCCAGGGCCTGGGACGTCTGAGCTGATGAGAGCCATGTGTGGGATTCTGTCTCAGCTCCCTGCTCTACAGATGGGGGACCTGGGGCCCCAGAGACAGGGAGGGCTCAGCTCTCTGGCTTGGCTTCTCCAAGAGATGGAACAAAAAGCTTTCATGCATGCCACTTCCTCCAGGGGTGAATGTGCGATCCTGCTTATAGGAAAACACGTCATCTGAAAGTGAGGAGAAATTTTCCTGACTCTGGAAACGTCCCAGAAGCCAGCGCAATGTTTCAAAAGAGAGACAGCCATTAGCCCTCAGCAAAGGTCCCACAGAGAATTCTTTTGTGTCATCTCTGAACCACGCCGAGCCTTCCCACAGACTGGCGTGCTGTGAATTATAGGCTGAATAACACAGGTGACGGTGCCAGGCATGAAGAGGCCTCGGATGAATTCTCTGAATTCTCGTGTTTGTGTTCTCCTGGGGGAGCCCCAGCCAGAAAACGCCAGTCTTGGCCAATTAATATCAATATGCACAATTTAAATCCATTGCCTCTGATTAGATAAGCAGCCAACAACGGCCTCATTTTTAAACAAACAAGTTTGCTGGAGCCCTGATGAATGAATTTGCCAATTAGGAATCTAGGCCTTCTAGATCGCAGACGAAATCCATTTGTTCTTGAGCCAAATCATGCATCACGTATCTATAACGTGAACAATTCCCTATCAAAGGCTGGGGCTCTCTGTTCCATGGAAGAGTCTATCCTTATTTACAGAGCAGGGTGGCATACTGCCTTTAGATCTGAGGTTGTTTTTTGTTTTTTTAAGATTTTATTCATTTATGTGATCCAGGGAGAGATCACGAGTAGGCAGAGAGGCAGGCAGAGAGAGGGGGAAAAGCAGGCTCCCTGCTGAGTAGAGGGCCTCATGCTGGGCTCGATCCCAGGACCCCCCGAGATCATGACCTAAGCTGAAGGCAGAGGCTTAACCCACTGAGCCACCCAGGTGCCCCTAGATCTGAGTTTTAATTCTGCCCCTGCCACTTCCTAGCTGTGTAACCTTGGGAAAATGACTTACCCCTTCTGGTCTTCCATATCTATTTGAAATGAGGGAGAAAAATAGGGGCCTTCCTAAGAGGATTTTGTGGGATTTAAATGACAAAGTATGTTTTGATTATCCGTATCACATGTTCAGTAGCTTAAAACCATATATACGTATTACCGCAGAGCTTCTGTGAGTCACAAGTCTGGGACAGCTTTGGTGGGTCTGTTCCAAGGCCATCACCAAGGTGCTGGCCAGAGCTGAGTCTCATCTCAAGTCTCCCCTGGGGAAGGACCTGCTTCCAAGGTCACCTGAATTCTGTTCCCTGTGGTTGTAGCACTGGAGGCCTCTGTTCCCAGCTAATTGTTGGCTGGTGGCTGTCCTTGGTTCTTGCCACGTGGGCCTCCCCCAGGCATGGCCCCTGGCTGCAGCAAAGTCGGGAAGGGAGAGTGTCCTTGCAAGACAGAGATCACCTTCCTCTGTGACATGTTCACAAAGGGGATGTCTCATCACCTTCACTGTATTCTACTGGTCAAAAGCAAATCACCCATCCCCCTCGCCCTCGATGGGAGGGGATCACACAGAGACACAGACACCAGGACAGGGCACCCCCAGGGGCCACCAGAACACCTATAAAGGACCAAGCCCAGGGCCTGACACGTATAGTTACTCATTAAGTGTTAACAGAGGTGACAGCAAGGATGGTGACATGACAAAAAAGCCAAAGGAAGAGAAGAAAAGCTTTGGTCTTTTTTCATCTGGGTACCCTGTTTCTGAGTCCATCTATTATAACATCATTCAGTATTTCCTGTGTGAGCTCACAAAAGTGACTCAGCCCCTCTGAGCCTCCGATTCCTCCTCTATAACGTCCAGACCGTAAGACCCATGTCATTCCGGTCATTCCAATCATTCACTGATACGTGCATCAAGCAGTTAGCACTGGGCTTGCTCACAGACTCAGCGACGATGACCCACCCCTCCCCTGCCCCCCAGAGCTCCACCAGACAGCCTTCCACAGACATACCTTTCTCCTCTCCGGGGGCAAGCTTGTGACCCGGCCGGCATGTCTCTCTTTCAGGCGCATGCTGAGAAACAACAACAAGCCCAAGGAGCCCAAGAGCGTGCTCATCCTGCCACCCCGGGCAGGCACCCCCAAGCTCTTCAACGCCGCCCTCGCAGTAGCGGGAAAGATGGGCGGCAAGGGGGCCAAAGGTGGCAAGCTTGCCCACCTGAGGGCCCGGCTCAAAGAGCTGGCTGCGTTGGAGGCCGCGGCGAGGCAGCAACAGCTGCTGGAACAGGTAACGTGGTGGGGAACCAGCCACCATCTCAACTTGGTGCCAGAGCATGGACCATACCTTTCATTGTGGGGAATGTCCGTCCCTCCCGCCCCCCCCCCCGTCCCCACCGGCTTCCTATTGGTAGAGATGCCTTAGGAGGCAAGTGACAGAAATGCAGGTCACTGTGCCAGCTCACGTTAGCTTAAGGGAACAGGGAATTGATTGGGTTAAGTAGCGGAAAAGTTCAGGCAAGGTTGGATCCCAAAATCTCTGACATTGCCAGTGGGACTCGCTTTGCCATCCCGTCATTGCTGCTTCCCTCAGGATGGCTTCAGATCGCAAGAGCACTACGATGGCTGGTGTCCTGGTTTAGCAGCTCCCACGGAAAGCCCCTCTCGCCCCGTGACTCCAGCGAAAGTCCCAGGGCTCACTGTCATTGGACAGAATCGGGTCACGTGTCAATTCCTGAGCCACTCGCTGTGGTGCCCTGGGGGAGTCCAGACTCCTGTGCCCACCCCTGGGTTGAGGGGGGCCATCCCCTCAAGGGGAGTCCTGGTGCTGTTGCAGAGGTGGGAGCAGTGGTTGTGGGCAGGGAATATCTCTCCCCAGATGGCAGTGATGTTCTCATATTTAATATTTGTGTCGGTGACAATTTAAGAGGTTTGAAGAGAAAAAAACTTGCCGACAGGCACAATGCTGACTTGTCCCCACCCTCGGAAATCTGAAGGGAATTTTAAAATTAGTTCTGGGACTCTTTTCTGTGACTAATGCCAAAAATGCCAATTAGAATGATTGCACTAATTATGACTATTCACGACTGTCCTTTAGGGAGGCTGCTGGGAATGGGGGACAGTGGGTAGGCAGGAGCTCAGTGACAGGGAGGGTGTGGCAGTCTACACGACAGAATTCAAAGGAGCCCAGGGGACTCAGTCTCAATTGAGGCTCCGGTCAGAGTCCAGGGGACCCATCTGGAGATCATTTGACATCTAGAGTCTGGGAGGGGACATCAAAGCTATGCAGGGTTCCAAGATATTCTCAAGATGCAGTCATCCTTGGCCCCTGATGGAGGACACACAGTATTGTCTTGTTCACCAAGTGCCAGGGTCAAGGTCGAGCCAGCAAGCTGGGGTCTTTAGTGCTGGCTGCTGCGTGGGGATGAGTGGACATGGACTCCAAGACTGCTCTTAGTACGGTGAAAGGCTTTATCCGGGCTTGTTGCTCCGGAGTATTTATTAGCTTTTCACCCAGGCAGCTTGGAGAGGTGCATTAAATTTGCATGAGAATTCTAATAAAAGGCAGTTTTAGAACAATCAGGGCAGAATGGCAGAGGAGCTCTGAAATAACAATCCAAAGACATGGGTCTGATTCCCAGCTCTGTCACCGCCAGCACAGTGCCCTGAGGAAGCTCTTCACGATCCCTGAGACCAGATCACCTATGCTTGCCACAGGGATGAAGCAGGATAGCTCGGAGAGCTTTTGAAAAGCCTTTTGAACATGATGAACCACCTGACAACGTGCCCATGATTCTTCTGGTTCCATTCATAGCAGGAAGCTTCTGGAAATCCCGTAACAGGCACCATCCCGCCCTGGAAGGGAGTTGTCAGAGTTTAGGACGAGCAGGAGAAGGCAGAACAGGTGCACCCAAACATGCAGGAACAAGGAAGCAGAGAGAGGGACATGTCCCCAGAGCTGCCTTGGGTTCTACTAGGAGTGGGGTTCCCCACCCTACTTCCCTTCCTTCATCACTCCGTGATTTGAGTAAACCTCAAGGGGTTTTTCTTCTTCAGGAGCATGCTGACTGCTCTCATTTTAAATTCACTACACTATCTCAGGTAGGTGTTGGATAGCTGGGGACCATTCAGGTCTCCTCCTCTGTGGGCCTCTCCCTTCCATTTATGTCCAGGTAGAGGTGGGTCACACAGGGCAGGGCAGGTCATGGGCATCCACGAAGGCTTGGATTTTTACTGATACACAGACTATGGCCAGTGTCCCCAGGAACCCCGAAGGCTGGAGGCTGGAAGTCCCCACCAAGTCTCCAAACATGGGGGCTCAGCCCAGCCAAATGCCAGTGGTAGCCTGCCCATTCTCCCGGGGCATGGGGGTGGGGGTGGGGGTCTCCACCTTTGAGACCTTCCAGAAAGGGCGCCATCTCAGCCTTTATCTTGTCTGCTTAGAAATTTTCTCATTCACCCAGGAGCATCCAGCTCTGGTAACCAGGGTGGACAGGGCAGCCAGGTGGACTGGGCTTAGCTTTGCAAAGTCCTCCCTGGCTCCCCCTCCTGGTCACAGCCTCTCTTTCCTCCACAGCTCAGGAGCGGGCTTGAACCTGCAACTTCACCCTGGCTTCTAGCCCTGCCAATCAGCAGAGACCAAAAATATCCACTAAATCCAACCGGGACTTTTAATCCCTGAATCTCCCCATAATATATTCTGTTTCTACCAAATAATCCTGATGCCGCTCCGACCCCCCACTTCCCACCCATTAGATTGCACCCCTGAGCGCTCCGCCATCCTCCTCCTTGGGGGTCCGAGAAGGGGAACGGGGAGGTGTTCAAGACCCCTCCAAGAACTCTCAGGCGTTCTGCTCCTCACCAATCGCCCTTTCCGGATTTCAGGCCAAGAGCTCGCAAGACGCTGCGGGAGAGGCGGGCCCGGCCGCCCTGGAACAGCCAGCACCGCCGCAGCCGGAGCCCCCGGAGCAACCAGTGCCCCCAGCCCCGCGCTCTCCGCCACCCGCCTCCCGTGGGAGGCCCGAGGAAGGCGGGGAGGCGGAGGCCGCGCCCTCAGAGCCCTCCGTGCGGATCCGCGTGAGCCCGGGCCCGGATCCCGATGAGCAGACCCTGTCGGTGGAGATCCCGGAGGAGAAGAAGGAGGGCGAGTGAGGCGGCCCCCAGCGCGCCGCTCCCGGCCCGGCAGGTGCCGGCGCGCCCTCCCCGCGCCCCAGGCGGGTCCCCAGCCCCGCGCCCGGCTCGCGCAGGCCCAGCTTCCCCGGGCACAGTAGAGGCTGTTGTACCTGCCTCGGCTTCGGCTTCTGCCACGGCTCGTCTTGAAGTCAACAAATGTAGTGTTCGTGTCCCTAAGTTCGCTCGCCTGAGAACCCTGCCTCTCCCGACTATGGTTTTGAAGAACAAAATTCTCTTCCTATTTTAAAAGTTGATAGAGCAGAGAACAGGGCTCCAGCACCTGGGAAGCTCCGTTGGCGGCTACAGGGTTATAATGGAATGTTGGAATCTCATCTCCCACATTTCAAGGATAGAAAACCTGCCGGCAGATGGGGCGCCTGGCTTGCTCAGCCCCATGGGGCATCTGACTCTTGATTTCAGGGTCCTGAGTGCGAGCCCCACGTTGGGTCTAGAGATGACTTCTTTAAAAACCTTGTCAGCAGAAAGGGCGGTTATGATATTCTTTGGACTAAATGGGAATCCCGGCTCCCCTGACCTGACGATCCATCCCGGGCAGTCACGTTAGGGATCTTGTGCTCATTAGGGAGGTTAGTGCGGATTTTCCCCAGGCTGTGTTCAGTTCCCAGTCCGATGCCAGTATCTCAGAACAGATAAAATGCAAGTGGAATTACGGGCAGTGGGCTGGGAGCGATTCGGAGAAGCTGCCAGTCCGCCAAGTCTGGCCTGCGGGGAATCATGCTTGCTTGCTTTTCACACCCGTGCTCTAACGGTGGTGGCGGCAACTTCCATTAATCCTAGGAGACAGAAATCACAGCGGACATCCCTGACATTCCTGAACTTTCTCCAGATAAGACCTGTTGTTCTGTTTCATTTTAAAGGTTTATTTATTTACCTATCAGAGAGAGAAAGCAAGCCCAAGCAGGGAGGAGTGGCACGTAGAGGGAGAAGCAGGCTTCCCGCTGAACAGGGAGCCCAAGTGAGGGACTCGATCCCAGGACTCTGGGATCATGACCTGAGCCGAAGGCAGACTCTTAACCAACTGAGTCAGCCAGGCATCCCCAAGCCCTGTTGTTTTAATGATTCAAGATAAAAGGGGGGTGGGTGGGGTGGGGAGGAATCAGTCAGTCACCGAATATTGGGAGGATTTTATTTGCATACCTAATGGCTCTTGGGGGAGTGGGTGATTAACAACAAAAACTAGCATTGGGCTATTTGTTTCCACCGGCAACAATGAACACAAAAGGCCCGGAATTCCAATAGATACTGTCCACTTTATGTAAAATCACAGGACCTTGCGCCCTGCGACAGGGGCCATCGAGGGCTTGCAAACGTGTGTGTTTGTCCATCAGACTGAACGCAGGACATTCATCTCCCCTGTGAAAAAAATGACACAATATGGAAGTTGCCAGGCTGCTCTAAGCATTTCCAGATCCCAGGGTGACAGATTTATCTAGCTGGTGACTTGCCACGTGATCTGAGTCATCACATTGAATAGAATGATGGGCGGCATGATTTTAGCCATTTAAAAAGCTTTTATTAATTTGCTTTCATAGCCAATACCATATTTTCACGGATACGAAAGGCCACGCAGTTCAAATGATCTCTCCTACCCCTGGTGCCCAGGCTGGGAGCGAACCACTACATCAGTTGCTTGCACCCTTCCTTTTTTTCTTTTCTTTTCTTTTCTTTTCTTTTCTTTTCTTTTTTTCCCCCCTGTACACAAATAGTAACATACTAGAGCTGCTATTGTTTTTCCTTGGATTTATTTGGAAGGTCCTCTCTTCTTAGTACATGGAGGGCGTGCTGATCTTTCATGCCTGCAATCTGGTCCATTGTATGCAAGGACCGTGATGTTGAACGGCTCTCCCGAGGACAGGCATTGGCAATGTTACCAATCTCATGCTGTTAAAAAAAATAAATAAGTAAGGCTGCAACACGCAAAAATCTTACGCATAATTTCATACAGTAAGCACTGTTTCCAAATAGGGGAAGTCTGGAGGTTTGGGCTAATTTTTGTCTTCATCATCCCCATTTATCATACTCATATTTGCACTGCATATTCTAAGATGCAAGCATAGAGAATGCTTCTATCTATAGCCAAGTATTTCAGATATATCAATACAGTCCATGTATTACCCTCCAATAGATGGCAAAATGTTTCAAAGGCACCTTCACTGTGAGATCTTATTTTATAAGGAATCTTTTTTTTTTATATGAACACACTCATTCTTTTAGATATCAACCCTTGAATGTATACTGCTTATTATATAAAGCGAGAGATTCTTGAGGTTCCCAAGAATTGTCCCGGAAAGAAAATTGATTTTGAAATGAGATTAGCGGTGTCTTAATTTCACTGTGATATTTCATTAAACTTGATGCTTTCACGAAAGTTGGATAGTAGATAAATCGAATTTGAGGCTAACATTATTCTCCAAATAGAATTGGACTGGTTGGTCGCCAAGGTATGGCTGGTACAACTCAGAATACTGTAATTCTGCAGATGAAACAGAATCTTTTACTTATGTGTGTTGAATATGTACCGATTTCAAATATCTCCACATTTCCTGTACTGGGGTAGAAAATGAATAGCAAACTATTTTTTTAACTATATAAATATTTTAAATAAGATTAAAACAGAAGCTGTGTAAAATTTCATTATCAAAATGTGTTTGGCTACCTAGAATATTTTCATCTGTTTTCTTAGCAAACATGAACACTGCACTTAGATGCTGGCTTTCATCTTAATACAATGCATTTTAATTAAAGTGTTTAGACAAATGTTTCTGGCTTATGGATTCATTTCAGAAATTGACCATGTGTGACAGCTGCTTTGGTGAGGAAAACTAAGTTTGTTTCCTGGTTCAGGCTCCTCTTATCTGCAAGTGACATCCTTGGGGCTGTCATCCATCCTCCGTTCCTGTTGCTGGAGGGACATTCTTGCGGCACACCTCTCCATGGGTCCCAGGACTCGAAGAGCCTCAGAAACAGCCCCTTTGCATCTGGTCAAACCCTACTGGTCTCACCACGCCGACTGCTTACGACGACCCCCGCTCTGTTAGACTTGTCCAATGTTGAAGCGTGCTGATGAACATGGACTCTGGGTTCAGACTGCCCAGCTTCCAACCCTAACTTGACCATGGTCCCCAGATGACCATGAACCTCTCTGAGCCCCAACAACCTCATCTAGAAGACAGAGATGATACAGTGCCCCTGCACAAGACTGCAGTGATGGTTAAATAATAGACGGGGTTTACCACGTCTGAATGGGCATGAGGGGTAAATCTGAGTTGCCATCCCTCTTACTCTGCTGCAGCTGGGGTACAGTGGAAGCTCCCAGAGAAATCCGTCTGCCCTGAATTCTGCCTCTTCCCAGGGGTGTACACACAGAAGAGGTGTGATCACCCCTTTCTTTGCTCTTTAACAGAGAGTTTGCATGAACACCTGGGCATATGTGAATTTTAACTATAAGTCACAGGCTTCCCCTCCATCCATGAATGTATTTCATCCAGCTGCATACAAAAACAGAGCTTACCATGTGTGTTCTGAAGAGTCCCATATTTGTTTCATGCTCTGCTGCCACCATCTTGACATTCTTAATAATTTCTGAATAAGGCATTCCCACATTTTTATTTGTACTGGGTCCCACAAATTATAGAGCCTGTCCTTGCTAGGCTGGAAATCTCCACCACCCCCTGCCCCCACAACCAATATCTGGAAAGGCCAAAGGGAGAGGGAGGTAGAGATGTGTTCTTTTGGCACCCAGCTTTCATCTCCCTTCTTCCAGCCACAGGATCCTGCCCCTTTTTGACACGGCACCTTTCAGTCATGCACTGGGACTCGGACAAGGTGACCTGAGCCACGCTCATGGGCTCTCCTTCCAGGGAATCTGAATCAGGAGAGCCCCTGCCCCTTCCTCCTCACTAAGAGAGTCCTAATTTAGTTTCATGCAGCAATATGCCCAGCTCCAGGAAAGGACACCCACTTGCATAAGCCAATCACCTCTCTTCTGATCCAGAAAGTGAGCCAGACGCTCACTTTCCCAGCCTTCCTTGGGGCTAGCGGTGGCCAGGGGACCAGTTCCAACCAAAAAATTGTAAAGGGAGGGTGATAGGAGGCCTCCTTAAAGAAAAAAGGAACCTCCCTATTTCTGCTACTCATTTTTCTTCCTGCTTGCAATGCTGGGGAGAGAATAGACATCTGGAGCTGCGGCAGCCATTTTGTGATAGAAAACAGCCAAAGCATCAGCGATACAGAGCCTGACATCAACCCCAAACCACTGATCTCAAGAACACTGTTCCACGAGACAATGAAATATCTTTTTTTAAAAAAGATTTTATTTGTTTACTTGACAGAGAGAGAGCGAGAGAGCACAAGCAAGGGGAGCAGTAGAGGGAAAGGGAGAAGCAGGCTCCCTACTGAGCAGGTGCAGGGATCAATCCCAGGACTCTGGGGGGGAACTGATCCCAGGACCCTGGAGGGATCGATCCCAGGACCCTGGGATCATGACCTGAGCTGAAGGCAGACACTTAACTGACTGAGCCACCCAGGTATCCCTGATATACCTTTATTATTAAACCATTTTTAGCCTCGATCTCTTGCCTGCAGCTGAAAACACCCAGCTGAGAGGGCAATGAGATGGGGAGGGAAAGAAAGAACGTGGGAGCAGAGACTTCACAGCCCCAACACCCTGGCCACACATGCTGTTTGTTCCTGTTGCTCAGGTCCTTGTGACTCTGTGTTCCTGTCGTTCCTGGCCCACTCCTCAGCTCTTTCTTCATTACACAGGCTACCTTGTGTATTTTGATTACATTCACCTGAAATCGGCCCGAGTTAACTTCCGTTGTTCACAATGAAGGAAGCCTCACTGAGGCGGATGAAAGTACTTCTGGGAGTTTTCTGGTTGTTTAAAATTCAAGATCTAGGCCCCCCACTCTGGCCATGTCTTTGATCTGGTCCAAGCACCTGTGGTTTCTAAATTCAATCAGGAAGAGACCTTCAGAGGAGGGAACGGAGGACAGAGGAGGCCATTTTGACCAAGATCAAATGCTTCTCTGGGGATGGGAAACTCAGTGGGAAGTGGCGATTTACCCCACAAGGAGCATGTGGGCATCGAGGTACCTTTCCAGCGTCCCCTCCTGTCTTGCCAAGGACACAAGAGCAAAGTTCCCTGGGGCAGACCCCCCTCTTGCATGATCTTCTAGAAGCATCTGTCTCTCACTGCTTGCGTTTCCAGGTAAGGCTCAGAACACAGGGGATTGTGTCCTATGGTTTTCAGAGAGTCTTCCCGTTCAACTAGTTGTGTCCACTGAGCAGCTGTGAGGGGATCAGGAAGGGAGTTAGTAAATCCAGATTAGAGACGAGGAAAACCTACAAACCTACACAGGCAAAGGGATTCATCCTTAGGGCCTCAGCCTCCCGGGGCTAAAGACAGAAACAGCCAAGAGAAAGGAGCCCAGAGACCACTGTCCTGCCTCAGCCACAGACATACGGTGCCTCCTCAGCTCGGTAACTTTCAGTCATTAAATATTTTAAACAATTGTTTCTATGCGCCAAGCACTGGTCTACCGTTTTCTAGGCCTCGGGAGTTGTATCTCTGAGCCGGGAGAAATAAAACAGTCTCCCCCAGGATGGTTGTAAAAAAAATTCAGCGGAT